TTGGGTGCAAATATTTATTGAGTATTATATGAATCCTATAAATGAAAATGACTAATTTGGGTGTAATCAATTACATTAATTCTCAGCGATCAAATTATATTTCAACAAAATAATGTTGCAGGAATGCTAATTTTATTTGTTTCTAAACAACAAAAACAATTTCAGAGCAATCTGAGATGGTGGGTGTTGAAATCCTCTTTCTTGTGCTTTTGAACGTGGAATGACCCCTCTTCAACATACAGGCCTTTACAGGGCTGTTACAGCATCATGTGACACGGTCCCCGGTCCCATGCAGCCAGTTTATTTATTTTTTGTGTGTGTTTTATTGTCACATGGGAGTAAATGATGGCAGCCAAATCAAAATAAAGATGTTACTGTAAAACCATGACGAGTGATGAAACTGTTCCTAAATCAGGGCACCCAGGTTGGGAGGGAGCAGGATAGTGTATTGCTAACAGGATTTAAGTGTGTCATGGCTGACAGATCTGCAAAGGGAGGCGAGAGGAGGAGAGGCTGCAGTACTCCACAGCGTGGCATTAACCTTCAGGAATAATGAGTATTACTGGCTCTCACAGATACAGATGCAGTCATTCTGAAGTGGCTGCAGTCCATACATGCACTACTGTTTGGGCCTTCATTGATATTGATGTTGTATTGACACTCTCCTCAGTCCCACGGTTTTTGCAGTGTCCCCAGAAGCACATAAAACATTAGAACTATTAATTATAATAGCTCCCTGAACCATGAAACCACAACAACAGTTCATCACTGTCACCTCAGTCAGCCTTGGATTTATCCTCATTTTGTGCATCCTGCTGCATTATGTTGTGTTGCATAAATAGGCCTTTGGATTATGCGTTTTTATGCCAACTATACTCTTAACTAGTCTGGCTATAGTATTAACAGGCAGTATTACATTTAGTAAATTGTGTTAGGTTGTTATTTTGGGTTCTACAATCATCTTCACATCCCCAATGTGTCATAATCAAAGTAGTCTTGTTTTATTGATCTGTCTTTGAGGACATGTAAGGGTTTGATTAAATCAGTGAAAACAATTTGTACAGGCGCGATCAAAATCAAGGAAAGTAAATTGCAATGTGCAAAAATAGGGGTAGTAATAGCACCAGATTTTTAATATATGTCTGATAAAGAGATGTTTTACCACACACAGTAATGAGGCTGATGCAACAGATCAGAGCGTTTAGTTTAAAATGTTGATTAAGTTGTATTTCTTCATATTATAAGCGCACAATGCGCACTGCACGCGTGAGAGGTTTCATGTGACAAATATATGTTAGAAATTAAGAAAGAGGGGAGATCTAAAGATACATCGACTAGCATGGGTTGCTAATATGACTAAGATTATGCCTTTGGCTGCTGGACAATAAAATAATGTTGATTTGAAAAACAATAGAATATGAGAAAAATGCTGGTTTCAATGGCGTGTTTATAAAATAATTTCCTCAACATTTCTATGGTCATATTTTGGGCTTGGCTACTTTGAAACAAGTTAAGACATGACTCATAAAATGACAATTAAGTTTATGGTTAAATAGTTTCAAGATTTATGTTGGGTGATAAGTGGTGCGCAGCACTGTCCTTCACTCAGGTCTTTTGACCATTTGATCTAAATGAACCGTGCCTCCAGTATGTCGACAGAATCAAGCCTTTATCCTTCATTATATTTGTCAAACATGACTGGCGTTTAGCCTATATTTATGTAATTAAAAGTCTCATTAAAGTTTGGCTACATTTTCTGATGCCTTCCTCATGTCAGCATCTGTTTGGACATGAGGCTGTAGCCAATATGCATATCACTTACACTTTGACATGTAGGCTTTTTTATTTATGTAGTTGAGAAATAGATTTTAATATTATTGAAATGTTGGCCTCTCTGATCCAATTCTGATTGGAGTAATTGTTTGATATTGTGATTTTTGTGTGATTTATTCTTCTTGTCCGACAATTTTTTTTGACTTGTCCCGGACAAGAGGACAAGCATTAATGTGGAGCCATGGGTTTGTTTTAATATAGTCATGTGAGGCTGATAAATGGCTCAGACATGATGAAATGACACTCCAGATGGGGGTGGATTAGTTGGTCTGTCGCTCATAACGACAACGAAATTGAGATCAATCCATTCCCCCTGGTGAATAGATTCCCATGTTGTTACGGTAACTGCAAATACTACATTGTTCCACCTGCAAGCGACTGTGTACTGTACCAGCTAATGTTCCTCTTGGCCTGAATAGAAATACATTGTATTAATGTGTGGATTTTGTGATTAGTCATTTGTATGCATTTGGTGATGATGGTTGGCAGGCTTGTTGTGACTAGGACTAGATGCTGTTAGATCTGTCATACAGATGAAAGGTTCTGTCTGTTTGCAGTTTGATATAAGAAACACACTTTACCAGAACACCTCACACAGTAATGCTGTATTATTATTCTTTAGAACAATGCTTTCAAATAACCCTGATCTTTAGCCCAGCACTTGTGAAGGGCTAGTTTTTTTTAGCTCCTTAAGACAGCCTGAGGGAGAAGCTAGATTATGAAAGATGACATTGGCACACTTTTTGCTAAATCAAGCAGTGAATCAATTAGGTGTGTTGGTGGGTCTTTAGCTGATGCTCTGTCACTGTCACACAGATTGTGAGTCTTCCTTCATCAGCTTGTCAGCCTTTCTGATTGACAGGAGAGGGTGTGAATAATGTAGGCAGATGCTTTTAATTTTATTTCTGAATGGTAAAGAGGCCTTGTCTTGCCAAGTTAATGTAACACACAGATACTTTTTCTAATTAGTATATGGGTTCATGTTATTTCCTTATGCATGCATTAGTAATATGCATGGCCTGGTGGTCTTGTGTATATCATATGTTTTTGCTATTAGTTGAAGTAAGGAGATTGGAATATGGTTGAAATATGTGCATGTTCCATTACATCTAAAGGCCAAATCTCCCTTCAGGGTTTTAAAAACATTGTGATCGTGAAGCAACTTTTATGAGTTTATGTTTCTAATGGAACCAGACTGATCCCAGGTGTAAAAGTAGAGGGAAGAAATGAAGTACAAAAAGCTCTTCTAACCAAGAGAACATCTGATATGCTGTTTTTGGACAAAACCCAGAGTCCATGAACAGCAACAGGTTAGGAGTTGTTGTTGAACCGAGTTCAAATCTATCCATTAGATAATGCATATCCAATGATCACTGGCGTAACACACACACCCGCAAGGTAGGGAGGCCCACAGGCAGAAAATTATCTTTAAAAATTCAAAATTCTCTCAGCCTCATTGCAAAATGTATAGAATAGCAAGAGATTAGTTATAGAAATGCAAATGTTTCTCTCTGCCCCATGGCAATATGTGTAGTATTGCAGGAAATTAGCTTTAAAACAGCAACATTTTCTCTCAGCCTAATGGCAAAATGTGTAGAATAGCATGATATTAGCTATAAAACTGCACATTTTTCTATTTGCCCCATGGCAAAATGTGTAGAATTGCTCAGACCTTGCGGGGGGCCCCAAGAAACAGTGGTATGCCACTGCCAATGATTTCATGTCTTGGTAAGCAAGCTGTTGCTTGATACATCTTAGCAAGAAGAGGGCAGAACAAGTGGATTATTCCACTGACTTGTGAGTGACTAGGGCTCTTAAGGATGAAAATATGCTTTTAAAGAAAGATAAGATCATTGGCAGACTGGTTCAAATGTCTGATAACATGATACCAGGTCCACATGATTCAATTGTCTACTAAGAACAAAAAAGTGCTTTTAGAAAGTTTTGCACAACAAAATTAAGTTGCACACTTAAAAAATATATTTTCAATCAATACACTCTTGACCTAAGAGCAGTCGATAGTCCTCACCCCACGGAAATCTGAGAGTTGTTGTTTTCTCACTCTAAATTCTTGCCACAAAACAACAAAGGACTCAATACCATCATATCCAGAGATGTACTGTATATTTGATATAAATGCATTTAACTGACTGTTACAGGAGGATTTCACCCATGTTAAAGATAATTGTTGAAATCCCAGGTTTACTGGTTTGTTTACTTACTGTAATGTCATTTAGATGCAGTGTAGAGGGTCTGTAATGTCTGCTAGAAATGTATCTGATTCTAACAGTAGATCAAGCAGCAGCTATGATGTGGTTAAACAAACATTGGGTTTACTTCACTTTCAGTGGATTCATATTGACTGGAAATATGGTGACGAACCGATTATAAACAAAAAATAATCCAACACATTGCGCATTGATTAAGTATTTTCATGATTTAGCTGGAGAGAGTGCTTGGCCATGAAATAGATGTAGAAGTGTTTTGCTTCTTGATTAACCATAAAAAGGTCTCCCAGAAGTAGGTCAACCACTAGGTTCCATATCTGGCAACACGTTGCCGCAAGTGGGCCACAATGTACTGTAACAAAATTAGTATCAATAATACACCCTCTTTGTCTTCCATGGTACAATAGCAGTAGTGGTAGTAGTAGTGTTTCAGGTGATATACTGTACCAATGTACAGTAACTCCCCTCCCAATCTCAGAACACCCCTCACTTTAGCCCCCAGCCTTATTCACCCAAAAATAATGCCAAACCCTTTGAAAGCCCACACTGGATTTCAATGTTTTTCAATAACAAAGGTGGACGCTAGCTATACCAGATACACAGATCCCATGGTTTAGTTTCAATGTGGCAGTGTTTCAAAGAAAATCAAAGGCATTTTCCGGCACGTTTGTGGCAGTTCTCAACTCAAACATATATGGCCAATTATCGACCTCCCGTGTGGTGCAGGAATCAAGCTGCCACACACGAAAGCCCTCTCTAGAGAGAACAAGAGCTGTCCGTGCAATCATCGCATAGGCCGTGTACACTCTGCGTTATCAGTGCGAGACGGAATGGAGGCTACCAGTGCTGTTTTAATGAGGAAATGTACGTGAAAGTGGCAGGAGCAGTCATCTGTGAACACACGTATGCTCAAGCAGGGCCCACAGATCAGTCTCTCTGATGTGGAGCAACTGGCGGTGGAAGCCAGGGAGCAGCACCAGGCACCCAGTCATCCAGGCATCCCAGGCAGGCACACTGCAGCTTCCCCCAACCAGCACTGGCCAGGCTAGGCTGCCCTGGATATGCTGCATCTCACCCCAGCAGCAGGGACCAGAGATAGATCAGGGTCAAGAGCTTCTCCTCAAAATTAATGTTTTCCCTTCTTTATTTTATTAAATACATTGGCCAAGGTATTAACGCTGGGTCAGACCTGGTGACTGGTCAATTTATCATCTTATTTCCCATCTTTTCCCCAGGGTATCCACCTAAGCTTGTGCTGTGAAATGTTACATGATACCCAGGGTAATAGCTTTGGACTCCTGGCATCTGAAGTAGCATTCTTTTTGTCTGTGCCATAAATTATTTGGTCTCTCTCGTTCAGCAGTGAATGTAACTCACCAGGCCAATGTTTGGGGGTCGGGGATTCAATGAGGTAACCTAGACATTATTAATTTACAGAGGGCTTAATCAATCATATCTGGATGATTAATCTATTTAGTGCTACTTTTAGACCTCTCATATGCATAGGTATCATGTAACAGTGTCAGTGTTCCCTTTATATTTTCTACCATAGAAAAATATATTTGCATTTCAAATTATGCTTTGAATATATTTCACTATGACTATATAAAAAAAATATTATGCAAACACTACAGCAATGCAACTACCACATACACTATGCCAACAGTATAGGAGAGCTTGAAATATTGGACACCGTAAAAATCCTCCCCCTACTGTTATCCTGAAGTTGCTCTCAATATGTGGAAACTGGAGAAGACCTGAGGTAGTAGTGGTCAATACTTCCATCAACAGCATCACTCAAATCAAAAGATGTGGTTAGATTTGCTCCATCCCAGCGTTCCTAGCATTCCTGCCTCTGTGACTGGAACTAATTCTCATATCCAACAAGTGAGGGTAGGCAACCACCTCCGCCACGCTGACCCTCAACACGGGGGCCCCTCAGAGGTATGTGCTTAGTCACCTCCTGTACTCCCTGTTCACCCACGACTGCGTGGCCACGCACGACTCCAACATCATCAAGTTTACTGACTACACGACGGTGGAAGGCCTGATCACTGACGGCGATGAGACAGCCTACAGGGAGGATGTCAGAGACTTGGCAGTGTGGTTCCAGGACAACAATCTCCCCCTCAATATCAGTAAGACCAAGGAGCTGATCGTGGACTACAGGAGAAAGAGGGGTGAGCATGCCCCCATCCACGTCGATGGAGCTGTAGTCGACATGGCCTCAAAAAGTTCTACAGCTGCACCACCAAGAGCATCTTGACTGGCTGCATCACCGCTTGGTATGGCAAATGCACCGCCCTCGACCGCAAAGTGCTACAGAACATCACTGGGGCTGAGCTCCCTGCCATCCAGGATCTCTATATCAGGCGGTGTCAGAGGAAGGCCCGAAAAATTGCAGAAGACTGGAGCCACCAAAGCCATAGACTGTTCACTCTGCTACCGTCCGGCAAACGGTAACGGAACATCGGCTCTCGGACCAACAGGCTCCGAGACAGCTTCTGCCCCCAAGCCATAAGACTGCTAAATAGCCATAAGACTGCTAAATCGTTAATTAAATGGTTACCCGATCTATCTGCACTGACCCTATCTTGCACTGACTCTATGCACACTCACAAGGCTATATAGTGCCTTCTGAAATTATTCATACCCCTTGACTTATTCCACATTTTGTTGTGTTACAGCCTGAATTCAAAATTGATTAAATATAAAAAAAATTTCACCCATCTACACACAATACCCCATAATGACAAAGTTAAATATGTTTTTAGACCTTTTTACCAATTTATTGAAAATGAAATACAGAAATATCTCATTTACATAAGTATTCACACCCCTGAGTCAATACTTTGTAGAAGCACTTTTGGCAGCGATTACAGCTGTGAGTCTTTCTGGGTAAGTCTCTAAGAGCTTTCCATACCTGGATTGTGCAAAATTTGCCCATTATTATTTTCAAAATTCTTCAAGCTCTGTCAAATTGGTTGTTGATCATTGCTTGACCCCCATTTTCAGGTCTTGCCATAGATTGTCAAGTAGATTTAAGTCAGAACTGTAACTCGGTCACTCAGGAACATTCAATGTCTTCTTGATAAGCAACTCCAGTGTAGATTTGGCCTTGTGTTTTAGGTTATTGTCCTGCTGAAATGTGAATTAATTTCCCAGTGTCTGGTGGAAAGCAGACTGAACCAGGTTTTACTCTAGGATGTTGCCTGTACTTAGCTCCATTCTGTTTATTTTCTAAACTGAAAAACTCCCCATTCTGTAACGATTACAAGCATACCCATAACATGATGCAGCCACCACTATGCTTGAAAATTTGGAGAGTGGTACTCAGTGATGTGTTGTATTAGATTTGCCCCAGACATAACACTTTGTATTTAGGACAAAAAGGTATTTGCTTTTCTGCAGTTTTACTTTAGTGCCTTGTTACAAACAGGGTGCATGTTTTGGAATATTTGTATTCTGGGGTATGTGTAGGCCAGTGACAAAAACATCTCAATTTAATCCATTTTAACTTCAGGCTGTAACACAACAAAATGTGGAAAAAGTCAAGGGTTGTGAATACTTTCTGATGGCACTGTACGTACACACTCACGCTACACTGACACTCTCACACAACACCCACACACATTCACATGCATAACATACGCACACACATACATAACACACATACACGCATATCGACACAACACAAACACACATACACTCACGCACACATACACACTTTTACGCTCATCATATGCTGCTGCTACTCTGTTCTTTATTCTACTCTTATTGTTATCTATCCTGATGCCTAGTCACTTTACCCTGCCTTCATGTAAATATCTACCGCAGCTATCTTGTACCCCTGCACATTGATCTGGTACTGGTACTCCCTGTATATAGCTCCATTCTTGTGTATTTTATTCCTCTTGTGTTACTATTTTTCTTTTTTAACTCTGCATCTTTGGGAAGAGCTCGTAAGCAAGCGTTTCACGGTAAAGACTACACCCGTTGTATTCAGCGCATGTGACAAATAAACATTTATTTGAAGTGAACATGTTGCCCAGCGTATTAACAGCTTCACCCCCAAGGTCACAGATACTTGCATTTACATGAAGCTGTTTTGTATTTTGGAATATTAATTAGATCAAACTAAGATGAGTTGAAACATGATTTCCATCTTAATGATTTATGGGTGTTTTATGTAACATGGGGGTTTCTGCTCTGCTCTCTATTTTTGTACGCTCTCTGTTATTTGGGTTAGGCATAAGGTTAGCAGTGGGGTTTGGGTTAGGGTTAAGGTTAGGGTTAGGTTTCAAATCAAATGTTAAAAAGAGAAATTGTAGAAATGGGCAGGGTTTAGCCATAATTGTGACTTTGTGGCTGTGTTAACTAGTGACAACGTGTTATTTTGTACACTATGAAGGGTATGACGGGACCACTTATCATCCCACATCATGCATAATTAACTAGATGATGAGGGTGATATGTCATGCAATTAAGCTCAATGATGAGGTACAGTATGTCTCTATACAAGCAGTATTGACATTAATGTTGTTCAAACTTGTGAGTATTTCGGTTGAAATATATGGATTTTTTAATTATGCATTTTGAGTTCTATTATTCATGGGAACATGTCTGGCAATCAGTTAAAAATATCCTCTGCAGTATCTCTGTGTCTTAAACGAAATTAACCTAGCACCCATTGCATAACTTATTTGAGGATATAATGTTGTCAACTGTAGAGTTTGTTCAGACTGCTGAAATAGATTGTGAAAATTTTCCAGGAAAACATACACAGCATCTGTAGGATTTCAGTTTCATCTTATTTACAATAACTTTTAATTTATTGGTTTCATCATTGATTGGTCAGAGGAGTGAGTCCACTCACCTGGCTTCTCGGGCCCTGACCATTGGCTAAATGAGAGATAACTGGCAGCAGACAGACAGCGCCCCTGGAGGATTTGGCTGGCCAGCCCTGATATAAACACTGTGTGGACCTGGACACAAAGCCAATAGGTTCAAGGCTAGTCCCAGTCCCAGAGAAGCAGCCAACATGATGCCCTTCGGCCCACCAGGCTTACTAACTGCCTGACTCAAACAGGATATCTCAACCTGACCTTGAGTGGTACAAGGATTGATGGCAGAATTGTGTTGTCTGATTGTTCACACGGACATAGTAAAGAAATCCATTCTATAGGCTTTCCAAGGCCTCTCCATGCCAAGGCAATCCATTTACTGCGCTGTACCTCAGAATTGTGCATTCCTGATACACATTAAATGCACAACCATTGTGCTGGAGTGTAATTCCGCTGTTGTATGTCACACAGCTGTTCTTTTCGGCTCCCAAGCCTACATCGACGGTCTTAGTTGAAAACCTACACATACACTACCAGTCAAAAGTTTGGACACACCTACTCATTCAAGGGTTTTTCTTTATTTTTACTATTTTTTACATTGTAGAATAATAGTGAAGACATCAAAACTATGAAATAGCACATATGGAATCATGTAGTAAACAAGAAAGTGGTAAACAAATCAAAGCATATTTTATATTTGAGAATCTTCAAATAGCCACCCTTTGTCTTGATGACAGCTTTGCACACTCTTGGCATTCTCTCAACCAGCTTCACCTGGAATGCTTTTCCAACAGTCTTAAAGGAGTTCCCACATATGCTGAGCACTTGTTGGCGGTTTTTCCTTTACTCTGCTGTCCAACTAATCCCAAACCATCTCAATTGGGTTGAGTCGGGGGATTGTGGAGGTCAGGTCATCTGATGCAGCACTCCATCACTCTCCTTCTTGGTAAAATAGCCTTTACACTGCCTGGAGGTGTGTTGGGTCATTGTCCTGTTGAAAAACAAATGATAGTCCCACTAGGCCCAAACCAGATGGGATGGCGTATTGCTGTAGAATGCTGTGGTAGCCATGCTGGTTAAGTGTGCCTTGAATTCTAAATAAATCACAGACAGTGTCACCAGCAAAGCACTTCCACACCATAACACCTCCTCCTCCTCCTCCATGCTTTACGGTGGGAAATACACATGCGGAGATCATCTCTCACGATGACGCGGCGGTTGGAACCAAAAATCTCCAATTTGGACTCCAGACCAAATGATACATTTCCACCGGTCTAATGTCCATTGCTCATGTTTCTTGGCCCAAGCAGGTCTCTTCTTCTTATTGGTGTCCTTTAGTAGTGGTTTCTTTGCAGCAATTCAACCATGAAGGCCTGATTCACACAGTCCCCTCTGAACAGTTGATGTTGAGATGTGTCTGTTACTTGAACTCTGTGAAGCATATATTTGGGCTGCAATTTCTGAGGCTGGTAACTCTAATGAACTTATCCTCTGCAGCAGAGTTAACTCTGGGTCTTCCATTCCTGTCGTGGTCCTCATGAGAGCCAGTTTCATCATAGAGCTTGATGGTTTTTGCGACTGCACTTGAAGAAACTTTCAAAGTTCTTGACATTTTCCGTATTGACTGACCTTCATGTCTTGGTATTTTACCAAATAAGGCTATCTTCTGTATACCCCCCTACCTTGTCACAACACAACTGATTGGCTCAAATGCATTAAGAGGGAAAGAAATTTCACAAATTAACTTTTAACATGGCACACCTGTTAATTAAATGCATTCCAGGTGACTACCTCATGAAGCTGGTTGAGAGACTGCCAAGAGTGTGCAAAGCTGTCATCAAGGCAAAGGGTGGCTATTTGAAGAATCTGAAATATAAATATATTTTGATTTGTTTAACACTTTTTTGCTTACTACATGATTCCATATGTGTTATTTCATTGTTGTGATGTCTGCACTGTTATTCTACAATGTAGAAAATAGTACAAATATAGAAAAAACCTGGAATGAGTAGGTGTGTCCAAACTTTTGACTGGTAGTGTGTGTATATATATATATATATATATATATATATCCTTAAGTGACTGCTTTTCCCCTTGTCAACTTAATCAAACCTATCTGAATTAGTCTATCGGCTAACACAAATATTTTGCGGTCCATTATTGAACCAGGTAGTCAAATATTAATTACTGGTTGCTCTAAACACTGGTCATCAATATATTAATAAAGTGCCTCAATCTGTTTATATTTAATGAGGCCTGAACGGGCCGCTAATGAACTGGTCTACTAGTGCGCCCTACACAATATAATTAAGTCTATGAGTGGAACCACAATGTCAGAAGTGCACTTTAATTGCTTTAACAGCCTCCGAGAGAGGAGATGAGGGGAAAGTTCTGGAACAGTGTCATTTCTAGAGCTCAGGGAGGAAAAGAGGGGTGGGAGGGAGAAAGCGAGAGAGGGAGGGGGGCAAAAGACGGGCAGTACTAATGGCAAAGAATGAAAGAAAATAGGAAAACATACTGTATTATTTATTACGTAATTATTAAAACATTGTTTCAATGGTCAGTGTGTTAAAAACGTTCAATTCATAACACCCTTTGAAACCTCAAAAGTCTACTTTTTTTATTAACATTTTACTCTGACCACAACTTTTTATTCGCAGAGAAGGGACTCTGTAGGCTATCATCCACTGTTGTTGTGTTGACTATTTTGTCATATTTTTCAATTAACACAATTACAGAGGATGCTGCTCAATGCATGCTGCAACTAGCCAAATCGTAGCCTTGAACCTTTTTCAAACTTAAATGTCAGAATTGGTTTTAAGGATGTAAGCTCCTCTAAGACAATTAAAGCTGCCTCATTCATTGGGATCAGAGACTGTTGGAGGAATAGGACAGCCAGCAGCATGTGATCTGGAATCTGCATTGCTTTGTGAGCTCTAAAGACTCCCAACTTGCAGTGCAAATCTCATCAGATAATACCCAGACACTTGATTAAATTAATTGGCTATTATTATCATGCAGCACACATCTCTGTGGGGAGAAGGGGGCTGATGACAGGGATAAAAGTAGTCACTCACTCCACCATGGAGCCAGGCTGTTAACCATAACAATGTGATGAGAGAGCGAATAGACTGCTGTTGCAATCTGTTACTCCTTAATGGGGGCTCTGTTTCAATACCATCTTGGTCCCGCTGCTCTTTGAAGGATTTTAGTACATAATTCACTCTTTTTGAACAAACATGCTTCAGACTCACTGTTGTCTACTGTAGGTTACGGTATAGGCATATTGTCCAAAAAGGAATGAATGGGTATATAAAGATGACATACTTATTGCTGTTCACTGGACCTTATGATCACTCAACTACACAGCTGATGCCTGCTGGACTGTTCCTTTATACGGTACCCCATCCTGTTGATCTGTTTAGCCTCAGCTCAAACTTTCGTCGCCATTACCAGCTGTTGTCTTAGCACTCTCGAATAACACCTGTGACTGCTTTATGCCTATCTCCCATGTCAATATGCCTTGCCTATTGCTGTTTCGGTTAGTTCTAACTGTACTTTTTCAATGTAGAGCCCCCAGTCCTGCTCAACCTGTCTCAGATAGATCCTTTGTCCCACCCCCACACACACGCGGAGACCGGCTCAATCGGTGCCTCCAGTGATGCTATCTCTTTCATCTTTACCCAACGCTTAGGTTTACCTCCACTGTACTCATATCCTTCCATATCCTTGTCTGTACATAATGCCCTGAATCTATTCTACAATGCCTGGAAATCGGCCCCTTTTTTTCTCTGTACCCAACGCACTAGAAGACCAGTTCTTAAAGCCTTTAGCCGTATCCTTATTCTACTCCTCCTCTGTTCCTCTGGTGATGTAGAGGTTAACCCAGGCCCTGTAGCCCCCAGTATCACTCCTGCGCCCCAGGCGCTATCATTTGTTGACTTCTGTAATCGCAAAAGCCTTGGTTTCTTGCATGTTAACATCAGAAGCCTCCTCCCTAAGTTTGAGGTATTCACTGCGTTAGCACACTCAGCCAACCCTGATGTGTCTGAATCCTGGCATAGGAAGGCCACCAAAGATTCTGAAATGTCCATTCCCAACTACAACATTTTCCGTCTAGATAGAACTGCCAAAGGGGGCGGAGTTGCAATCTACTATAGAGCTCTATCATACTATCCAGGTCTGTGCCCAAACAGTTTGAGCTTCTACTTCTAAAAATCCACCTTTCCAAAAATAAATCTCTCACTGTTGCCGCTTGCTACAGACCCCCCTCAGCCCCCAGCTGTGCCCTGAACACCATATGTGAATTGATTGCCCCCCATCTATCCTCAGAGTTCGTATTGCTTGGTGACCTAAACTGGGATATGCTTAACACCCCGGCCGTCCTACAATCTAAACTAGATGCCCTCAATCTCACACAAATTATCAAGGAACCTACCAGGTACAATCCTAAATCCGTTAACATGGGCACTCTCATAGATATCATCCTGACTAATTTACCCTCTAAATACACCTCCGCTGTCTTCAACCAGGATCTCAGCGATCACTGCCTCATTGCATGCGTCCGTAATTGGTCCGCGGTCAAAACGACCACCCCTCATCACTGTCAAACGCTCCCTAAAACACTTCAGCGAGCAGGCCTTTCTAATTGACCTGGCCCAGGTATCTTGGATGGATATTGACCTCATTCCGTCAGTAGAGGATGCCTGGTTGTTCTTTAAAAGTGCTTTCCTCTCCATCTTATAAGCATGCCCCATTCAAAAAATGCAGAACTAAGAACAGATATAGCCCCTGGTTCACCCCAGACTTGACTGCCCTTGACCAGCACAAAAACATCCTGTGGCGTATGGCATTAGCATCGAACAGCCCTCGCGATATGCAACTTTTCAGGGAAGTCAGGAACCAATATACACAATCAGTTAGGAAAGCAAAGGCTAACTTTTTCAAACAGAAATGTGCATCCTGTAGCACTAACTCCAAAAAGTTTTGGGACACTGTAAAGTCCATGGAGAATAAGAGCACCTCCTCCCAGCTGCCCACTGCACTGAGGCTAGGAAACACTGTCACTACCGATAAATCTACGATAATCGAAGATTTCAACAAGCATTTTGCTACGGCTGGCCATGCTTTCCACCTGGCTACCCCTACCCCGGCCACCAGCTCTGCAACTTGCCCATGCCCCCCCCGCTTCTCCTTCACCCAAATTCAGATAGCTGATGTTCTGAAAGAGCTGCAAAATCTGGACCACTACAAATCAGCTGGGCTAGACAATCTGGACCCTTTCTTTCTAAAATTAGCAGCCGAAATTGTCGCAACCCCTATCACCAGCCTGTTCAACCTCTCTTTCGTATCGTCTGAGATCCCCAGAGATTGGAAAGCTGCCGCGGTCATCCTCTTCAAAGGGGGTGACACTCTAGATCCAAACTGTTACAGACCTATATCCATCCTGCCCTGCCTTTCGAAAGGTTTTGAAAGCAATGTTAACAAACAGATCACCGACCATTTCGAATCCCACCGTACCTTCTCCGCTATGCAATCTCGTTTCCGAGCTGGTCATGGGTGTACCTCAGCCACGCTCAAGGTCCTAAATGATATAATAACCGCGATCGATAAAAGACAGTACTGTGCAGCCGTCTTCATTGACCTGGCCAAGGCTTTTGACTCTGTCAATCACCGCATTCTTATTGGCAGACTAAATAGGTTTCTCAAATGACTGCCTCGCCTGGTTCACCAACTACTTCTAAGATAGAGTTCAATGTGTCAAATTGGAGGGCCTGTTGTGTGGACCTCTGGCAGTCTCTATGGGGGTGCCACAGGGTTCATTTCTCGGGCCGACTCTATTCTCTGTGTATATCAATGATGTCGCTCTTGCTGCTGGTGACTCTCAGATCCACCTCTACGCAGACGACACCATTTTGTATACATCTGGCCCTTCATTGGACACTGTGTTAACAAACCTCCAAACGAGCTTCAGTGCCATACAACACTCCTTCCGTGGCCTCCAACTGCTCTTAAACACTAGTAAAACTAAATGCATGCTCTTCAATCGAACGCTGCTTTCACCCGCCTGCCCGACTAGAATCACTACTATCGGCGGCTCTGACTTAGAATATGTGGACAACTACAAATACCTAGGTGTCTGGTTAGACTGTAAACTCTCCTTCCAGACTCACATTAAGCATCTCTAATCCAAAGTTAAATCTAGAATCGGCTTCCTATTTCACAACAAAGCCTCCTTCACTCATGCTGCCAAACATGCCCTCGTAAAACTGACTATCCTACCGATCCTTGACTTCGACGATGTAATTTACAAAATACCTTCCAACACTCTACTCAGCAAATTGGATGTGGTCTATCACAGTGCCATCCGTTTTGTCACCAAAGCCCCATATACTACCCACCATTGTGACCTGTACGCTCTCGTTGGCTGGCCCTCACTACATATTCGTCGCCAAACCCACTGGCTCCAGGTCATCTATAAATCCCTTCTAGGCAAATCCCTGCCTTATCTTAGCTCATTGGTCACCATAGCAACACCCACCCGTAGTATGCGTTCCAGCAGGTATATCTCACTGCTCATTCCCAAAGCCAACACCTCCTTTGGTCGCCATTCCTTCCAGTTCTCTGCTGCAAATGACTGGAACGAACTGCAAAAATCTCTGAAGCTGGAGACACTTATCTCCCTCACTATCTTTAAGCATCAGTTATCAGAGCAGCTTACCGATCACTGCACCTGTACACAGCCCATCTAGAATTAGCCTACCCAACTACCTCATTCCCATATTGTTATTTACATTGTTATTTAGTTTGCTAATTTGCACCCCAGTATCTCTATTTGCACATCATCTTCTGCACATCTATCACTCCAGTGTTAATACTAAATTACAATTGTAATTATTTTGCACTATGGCCTATTTATTGCCTTACCTCCATAACTTACTACATTTGCACACACTGTATATAGATTTTCTATTGTGTTATTGACTGTACGTTTTGTTTACCCCATATGTAACTTAGCCCATATGTAACTCTGTGTTGTTGTTGTTTTTTCCGCACTGCTTTGCTTTATCTTGGCCAGGTCGCAGTTGTAAATGAGAACTTGTTCTCAACTGGCTTACCTGGTTAAATAAAGGTTAAATAAAAAAATATATTAAAAAAGATACTGCATTTCATTCTCTCCCTTTGAAGGTAGTTCAGTAATAATATGCCTATTTGATTGTTATAAACAGCCTGTATCACAAGACTGGTCTCTTCCATAATGAGTTTGGTGAATGTTGTCATAAAGTGTCATCACATGTAATATCAAGCTTATAATATTGTCAGAATAATCACATCTATGACAACAAAGTGTTACTGCTGTTTCGTTGATACCGAGCTGTGCGCTAATGAATTGTCTCTCCTTCCCCTTCAACAGGGATTGCGGTGGACAAGCAAGGATTCGTCTACTTTGTTGATGGAACCATGATTCGCAAGATCAATGGGAAAGGAATGATATCAACTGTCATTGGTTCCAATGGCCTGACGTCCACTCAGCCGTTAAGCTGTGACGCCCGCATGGATATTTCACAGGTGAGATGACTAGACGGCCCACACACACACACACACACATACATTTACATTTTAGTCATTTAGCAGACGCTCTTATCCAGAGCGACTTACACTTAGTTAGTGCATACATTATATTTTTTCTTTTTCATACCCCCTGTGGGAATCGAACCCACAACCCTGGCGTTGCAAACGCCATGCTCTATCAACTGAGCTACATCCCTGCCGGCCATTCCCTCCCCTACCCTGGACGACGCTGGGCCAATTGCGCGCCGCCCCATGGGTCTCCCGGTCGCGGCCGGCTACGACAGAGCCTGGCCACATACACACACCCACACACAGCTAGGAATATCTGGTAGGCCAAGCCCTACATTTACATAGAGCAGTACTGGTAGACTGAACGGACAGAATGGTATTTCAAAAGCAATTCTTTACACCTTATCTATGATTGATATCATCCTCTGGTTCCAAGGATCTTATCATGCAACAATTCCCTTTTAATCTATACGCAGTCATCTATAAGTAGCACAGTTAAGTCATCAATAAGTAATGTAGCAAAGCATTAAAACTGATATTAATGATTAGCAATTAGACAATGATGTCCAAGAGAAAAAAAATAAACAAGTAAAGACAGATCTTATATCTATCTGACCTATAAAACTAGAGAGGCCTGATATAACTTCCTTTGAGACGTTCCCGCCATGATTAACTGGCCTTAGCGGCTGAATGCTCCCTCTCAATGGATAATTTTATTCTTGCTCATGTCCCTGCTCTCACGAGCAGCTGAGGCCCAGATAGGGCACAGGATGCAGCCTAACTCAGAGAGCAATTATTCTCAGCCCCTGGACCTTGCCATAGGAAATCACCTTTATCAGAGTGCGAATTAGACTATACCATGGCATTTATATCTCCTGAGTGGCGCAGTGGTCTAAGGCACTGCATCGCAGTGCTAACTGTGCCACTAGAGATCCTGGTTCGAATCCAGGCTCTGTCGCAGCCGGCCGCGACCGGGAGACTCATGGGCGGCGCACAAGTCGTCCAGGGTAGGGGAGGGAATGGCCGGCAGGGATGTAGCTCAGTTGATAGAGCATGGCATTTGCAACGCCAGGGTTGTGGGTTTGATTCCCACGGGGGGCCAGTATAAAAAAAAAAATGTATTCACTAACTGTAAGTCGCTCTGGATAAGAGTGTCTGCTAAATGACTAAAATGTAAATTTAGGGGGTCAGCACATCATTTCTTTATGGGCCTATAATAAAGATGTCATTTAAACTGTAAAAATGAATTACCTTTTAATGTGGCATGAACACAACCAGTCATGATATTTTCATCTGATTGTCAAACAAATCACTTCAAAAAGTAGGCTACCTGTGCATGTTTGTCCACTCCAAAATAAATTGAGCATCCAAACTGCATGTGCAGTGCATTCGGAAAATATTCAGACCCCTTGACTTTTTCCACATTTTGTTACGTTACAGTCTTATTGTAAAATTGATTAAATAAAAAAATTTCCTCATCAATCTACACACAATACCCCATAATGACAAAGCGAAAACAGGTTTTTATGCAAATGTATTAAAAATAAAAAACAGAAATACCTTATTTACATAAGTATTCAGACTCTTTGCTATGAGACTCGAAATTTAGCTCAGGTACATCCTGTTTCCATTGATCATCCTTGAGCTGTTTCTACAGCTTGATTGGAGTCCACCTGTGGTAAATTCAATTGACTGGACATGATTTGGAAAGGCACACACCTGTTTATATAAGGTCCCACAGTTAACAGTGCATGTCAGAGCAAAAACCAAGCCATGAGGTCGAAGGAATTGTCTGTAGAGCTCCGAGACAGGATTGTGTCGAGGCACAGATCTGGGGGAAGGGTACCAACAAATTTCTGCAGCATTGAAGGTCCCCAAGAACACAGTAGGGGGGGGGGGGGGGGGCATTTTATCAATTTTAGAATAAGGCTGTAACGTAACAACATGTGGGAAAGGTCAAGGGGTCTGAATACTTTACGAATGCACTTGCGCCATTTGATAAATGGAAATATACATCTGTTACAAAACACCAAAAGGTGTGCCTAATGACACGTATACTTGTTGGATGGATTGGATGCGCATTGGTGTCTAGCTGTAAGCTAGTTGTCTAGTGATATTGTCGGACATCATCAGCTGATCCAGGAAATAAAATAAACATTGATAGAAAATAATAAAGCTAAATAAATAATCTACTACTTCTGGCCACAGATGGCTCGGAGAACACCAGTACCCTCGTGCACCTTGAAAACAAAGCTATGAGCGCTCTAAACAGCTGATTGACAAAAGTAAAAATTATAAATCACCAGATACATCTAATTCATTGGAATAAAGGCCATTTTTTTATCAAATGGCAAAAATTAGGAAGTACAAAGTAAATTCTATGCGTAAAGGAGCTCAGCTGAGGCCGAAATTCAGCACTACTGAGTGGACCAACCAGCTCTCACAGTCTCACGTCAGAATTAGACGTTCATCCATGTTTCTAAAACGTCAAAGTGTTTAAGGATAATTTAAGGCATTCATTCCGAATTCTTAAGGTTAGGCATTAACTCCGAATGGTTCAGGTTTGGGATAGGCTTAAAACATCAATATCAAAAACAACTTTCTATCGCTGGATTCGAACATGCATCCTTTGGAACCAGATGCTTACGCCCATCCACAACTCCGTAGAAAAAAACGAAACCTACTTGAAGGTAACAACTCTCACTGTTCCCCCTAGTGGCCGGTTTCCACGTCATCTCCCGATGTCCTCGGACATGGATGGACGTCAAATACTGACTTGTATCACGGGTGATCTGCCTGGAGTGGACAGCACTACCACATATAAATACATTGTTTAAACCATGACAGAGAGGTGGGGGTGTTTGTTTCATTTGGAAGCTTTATTTTCATATTTACCACTGTAAAACATATTTACCACTACATTTTAAACAAATAGGAGAATGGTTAAATTAGCATTATTTAGAGACTCCCCCCAAAGTCTCATTCAGGGAAGCTGAGCCCCCCGTCTCCCCCGTAATTCACACCCTGACCTTTATTAAGTTCTCACCAAAAGTTATAAAAATGCTGAAGCTGGCTAACCTTCAGAGAGGGCTGCAGAGATATGCCCTACAGCAATGGTCACCAAAGGGACTGGTGGTCAATCTCCAGGGCATTCCTAGTCGATCGCAAAACATTTCTATAAAAAAACCAATGATAAAGCCTTGCACTGTTTTCCCGCAGTTCTGTTAACGACGGTGAGGGCAGGTGTTCGGCAGGCGGAAGTGAAGGACACTGTCTCCCGCTAGCTAGCAAGGAGGACTCCGGTACGCGGGGGTGAAATAACTCAGATAATACTTTTATTTCCCTTTTGACCCACATTCAAAAGTGTCACAAGCATGAAGATGTAGTGCTCGAGGCGGGAGCATTCATTCAGGAACCAATGAGATGCTCGAGGGAATGCCCAGAATTGCAGGCTGCAGTTGCACACTATTATCTGAAGGTACAAACTCCACCTACTCGGCGTGCCCGGAGAACAAATCAAGTGTATCTATAGGCCTACCGCTAGCCAATCGGATTGCTCAGATCACCGTGTCTGTCTGCAGCTTCCTCGAGCGCACAGCAAAGTAAATTGATACTGTGATTTCAAAACATCTAAAAGAGACTAGAGAGAGACTGTCAACGAATACAGCAAAGAGCTGCTGTTTTAACGACTGAGTTCATATAAAGGTTTTTATTCAGCACTTTTATAAGCCATGAAATGCACTTCTCCACTCGCACTGCAACCAGCACTGCAACCAGCACTGCAACCAGCACTGCAGCTTCAATGAATGAGTAGCAAAGTGTATTGATAGGCTTGCATTGCTATTATTAGTGGCTGTGTTTTTTAATATCGAGGAATATTTCACTTTCTCTGGTCATAGGAGTAACAACATGAATTTGTGCATAAGGCAGAAATAATGCGGTGTGACTCGAGTTTCGCCATCAGCTCGAAGACGGTGTCCCCTTTTAGGTCAATCTTAGCTGAGGGATGGTCCGACGGTGGAGGCTGAGACTGACCATCAGATGCAGGACAATCAGTCCAGTTAAAGAAAGAAAAAACGTTATTTATATTTATGCTCACTCAGCTGTGCCTCACAAGTAATACAACTGATGATCTATTACCAGTGTGATAATATACCTCAAGTTTTTAAATATAATTTTTAAATGGTCTGAGAAGAACAACATTAGCAAGACAATTCAAGCAGAGCCAATATTCAGTGTATTGGGCATATAGCCTACTACAAACCTCATTGCTACAGAACTGTTTTGCATAGGCTTACGTTTTTTAAGTCATGTTTAAACTTTAAAAAACCTGAGCGGTAAATCTCGGCCCTTCATTTTGACTTAGAATGTGATCTTGGCTCAGAAAAGTTTGGAGACCACTGCCTTACAGTCTCTCTCTCTACAGACTCTCACGCTTTACCTCTCTCTTTCTACCCCTCTCCCTCCCTCTCTGTCCCCCTTCTATCTCTCTCTCTCTCTCTCTCTCTCTCTCTCTCTCTCTCTCTCTCTCTCTCTCAGTCCCCTCTCTCTTCTTCACAGCAACACAGCACATTGACCCGCATCTGAGTGGGTCTCACAGCTCTGAATAGGCAACAGGAAACTAACTGCTGTGCCCCCATAAGGGCTTATCACATAAGAAGCGTGCAATTCTCCTCTTATGCACAGATTTGCTTCTGTAGAAAGATTATCCATGCGCATCACTGGACTGGATCACGTGCTGATGAACCCATCAAAGTGCTCATGAAAAGAGTCATAACTATATAACATCATTATGGGTGTGGGTTTTCTCCAGAGCATTTACATTTTCTGAGGCTGAGATTGTGGACTTTGCATACTGTATATACTGTCTCAATTAAATCTTCATATAGGAGGATACTGTATCCCCTATTTTGCATCACAATAAGCCAGTCATTGACACTGCCTATTATTCCCATAGACATTTGTCAACTGCTCAGTCGTATGAGAAGCAGCAGGATGAAGCATGTAATATTTTTTTTTTACTGTCCATATTTCAGACTTTGTGTTCCTGGCTTTCATTTTGTTAGTTTTCTGAATGCCTTTTACACTGATGTATTATGCAGTGAAATTATTCCAAGCAACTTCATCCTCAAGATGCTCATTTGCGAGCTGGCTGTCTCCCTCTCCTCCTCGCGTATCTTACATGCAAAGTGTGATGTTCTACTGTGATATAATCAAATGTCCAAACTATCAGGCCACGGCCTCTAATCACAGTAATGTGTGTTGGCCATTTTGAAATTGATATGTGGTTGATAGTTTACATATATGTTTGGCATTGGTATTTCACTTTCTCCAGAATTCTCCTTGCATGTTGTTGGTGTATGTAAGGCCTAAGGCCTCAAAGCATGCACAGCCCCACAAACAGCTTCTTATTGCATTTGACTATCAATTTAAACTGTGTCCCCAGCTTGAACCAAAGCTGTGCAGGAGGAAAATTAGAGTTATTTCGTTGTTGCATCACACTGGAAGAGAAACATTGTTTCATTCTCCAGAGCAATGTGTTTCTCCCCCAAGCCATTCTGAAAACAATAGAAGGATGGAGAGATCTAAGAAACAAAGAGAGTCCAATACTCCATCCAATCCACCACTCCAGGCTTTACAGTGCAATAAGGCATACCATTCTGGTTCCCACCACCTAGCAAATGAGACCCCTTCAAGTGAATAATAGGGCACTGTATTACAAAGGTTAGGAGAGAGTTGTATTGAGTCACTGCAAGCAGATTAGCAATGTGTGGGTATAAATTGAATTTAAAGAATGGAATAGTTCAGTGATAACGTATTATCATAAATGTGACAGATCTCACCATTCCAGATTTTCAGGCAAACAAAATGTCAGCGCATCACAGTTAGTTTTTATGGAGCACATTGCATTGATTTTGCTTTTTCAAATGCAGAAAAAAAAAGTGTGTTGTCAATTAGCATTCTTTTTGTGGTAACTGTTTTCAGACACTGAGCTGCCAGACTTCTCTCACAACTCAGATGTGCTTTACAACAATGGCTGCAGTGGGAAAACGTACCTCCAATTTCAATGTGCGGACACTATGCTGTCAGTATATTTTGTTACCTGTGTAGAGAAGTATCAAATTATTCCTGAACGGATTCCTTTCATTCACGGACAATTGACTTGCATACAGCCCCTTTCATCAGATCATCTCAGAGTGCTTGAAGGTGAGATGGCAACTAATTTTATCCTCCACCAATCTGAATCATTCACCCCTATTGTGCAGGAACACTTACCACCCATTATTTGTGGTGGAAGAATGGTTTTTCATGATCCAATTAAACACAGGGGTGATTATATTGGCAGATTTCTTTATTAGGACTTTGTCCAGCACCCTTAAGGATCCCACTCACACTTAGTGAACTGTACCATGGAGCTTTTTATTCCTTAGCTGAGTCTCAGGGGAACACAGTGTGAGCACGTCCAAAAATGACCTTACAGTGACATTACCACTTGTACAGAACAAACACAACGAACAGCTTTTTTCACAAAAGTCACATGCACATAAGGCTTTCACAAAATGTCCTCTATTACGAATTGCCCACTTGACATTGCTGAATGTATGACACAGACAGACAATGTCCAAGCAGTCTACACAGTATATGTGCTATTCTTACTACTTCATTTAGATAACATTGCAATATAATGCATAATCAAAGACAGTGGGACAACTGGAAAGGAAATGTTTCAGGAGAAACGTTGTGGCATCCATCTATGTGACAAGTACACTGAGTGTGCAAACCATTGCTCTTTCCATGACATAGACTGGCCAGGTGAATCCAGGTGAAAGCTATGATCACTTATTGATGTCACCTGTTAAATCCACTTCAATCAGTGTAGATGAAGGGGAGGAGACCAGTTAAAGAAGGATTTGTAAGCCTTGAGACAATTGAGACATGGATTGTGTGTGTGCCATTCAAAGGGTGAATGGGCAAGACAAAATATTTAAGTGCCTTTGAATGGGATATTGTAGTAGGTGCCAGGCGCACCGGTTTGAGTGTGTCAAGAACTGCAACGCTTCTGGGTTTTTCATGCTCAACAGTTTCCCGTGTGTATCAAGAATGGTCCACCACCCAAAGGACATCCAGCCAACTTGACACAACTGTGGGAAGCATTGGAGTCAAAATGGGCCAGCATCCCTGTGGAACACTTTCTACACCTTGTAGTCTATGCCTCGACGAATTGAGGCTGTTCTTAAGGCAAAACGTGGTGCAACTCAATATTAGGAAGGTGTTCCTAACGTTTTGTACACTCAGTGTATATGCTTGTTAAACTGTGTTTTCCCTGCTCTAGGTTCGTCTAGAATGGCCCACCTACCTGACTGTCAACCCCATGGACAACTCCCTGTACATCCTGGACAACAACATAGTGATCCAGGTGTCAGAGAGCAGCCAGGTGAGGATTGTGGCGGGCCGGCCCATCCACTGCCAGGTCCCTGGGATCGACCACTACCTGGTCAGCAAGGCAGCCGTCCACTCCACCCTGGAGGCAGCCAAGGCTATCGCCGTGTCCCACCAGGGCACGCTCTACATCGCCGAGACGGACGAGAGGAAGATCAACCGCATCCAGCAGGTCACCACCAACGGGGAGATCTCTGTGGTGGCTGGGGCTCCCACTGAGTGTGACTGCAAAATCGACCCCAACTGTGACTGCTTTTCCGGTGGGTCCCCTGCTGAGAACGCCATTATGCCTCAGACTCAATTCAGCAGTCTATCAGAGGCCTGCGGAGAGGCTCTCTGGATGGACATGCTCTGAAGCAATGATTTGGAACTATTATAACCCGCCCAATGTTTATGGTTGCATCAGTCTAGCTTGACAAAACAAACAAGCTTTAACGTGTGAAATAGTGGAGTGGTGGGATGAACAGCGAGTTTATTTCCCTTTCACTCAACACTCCTCACTTTATTGTCTAGGATGTATTATTCATATCAACTTTATGTGACATTGCAACTTGTCAAACACCACATTATTATTCAGTAAAGTATGAATACATAAATATAGTTATTTATGATTGACTCTCATTTGATTCAATGTATTCTACCTTAGCTAGTTAAGTGCTCAATCTCTTCATTGTCCTGTTCCCACAGGAGATGGTGGATATGCCCGTGATGCCAAGCTGAAGGCTCCCTCCTCCCTGGCTGTTTCCCCTAACGGGACTCTGTACATCTCTGACCTGGGGAACATCCGTATCAGGGCCCTGTCCCCCAACAGGCCCCAGCTCAACCAGAACAGGATGTATGAGATCACCTCTGTGGTGGACCAGGAGCTCTATCTGTTCAGTGTGAATGGCACCCACCTCCACACCCGCAGCCTGGTCACCGGGGACTACGTCTATAACTTCACCTACTCAGGAGAGGGAGATATGAGCGCTGTGGTCACCAGCGACGGCACCATGGTCCACGTGCGCCGCGATGCCAACGGCGTCCCCCTCTGGCTGCTGGTGCCCGGGGGTCAGGTCTATTGGCTCACGATCAGCAATGGGGGCGTCCTCAAGAAAGTCTCCGCCCTGGCGCATGACCTGGCACAGATCAGCTACCATGGCAACTCGGGTCTCCTGGCAACCATGAGCAATGAGAACGCCTGGACAACAGTATATGAGTGAGTTTTCCACCAATCTCCTTCCTCTCTATTCATGTCAATTTCATTCTGCTTGATAATATCCTCTATTAGCACCCTTCAAATCATAGCCATATTTTTGTTCCTGTCTGCCTGTGTGAAGCTGTAAGAGCTTCACCACCTACACTCCCATTTTTGCTGCAGTATTGCAGTTTTTTCAGTGTTGGGAATGTGTGAAATTTGAAAGGTGTATATAAATTACATTGTCCGAAAAAATGAAATATAAATGTATTTTCTAATAGAAGATTATTTCCAAAATCATGTTTTTCTGTAATTGGGGCAATTCCATACGCTGGCCTGCAGAAATGGTCTTCTTTTTGTTGCCGATTCAAAGAGAAGTGGGAATAGTGTGATTATATAAAATGTTTGCGTAGGCATTTTTAGGGATTTGTTCAGTGGCGCTTTGGGTTTAAAATCCATTCGTATGTCAGGGGCAAAGAATCCTTTTCACTGCCTCTTAATTTTGTTTGATCGGCAATACAACCTCTCCTCTATTGTGTCTCTGCGAAAAAGCCTAAATCCACCCAAACCCCATTCTAAGACTGTCCTCAGTGTCCTGCGGTAAGACTGCCTTTGGAGGTCATACCTAATTGGCTCCTTTGTTCCAGCAGCATCATTATACTGCCTCCCAGTGGTGACGCTGGGGAACTACAGGATGGCGCTCACCTTTCAGAATGGGAATATTCTGGAATCCACTAAAATATAACCATTTTATTACACAAGGTTGTCACAATTTCAGATGTTGGTAGGATGTTATTTGACTGGGTGTTTCCTTGACCAGGTATAATTATGACGGTCATCTCATCAATGTCACCTTGCCAACGGGAGAGGTCAGCAGTTTCCACGGCAATATGGAGAAATCAGTGCGGGTGGAAGCAGACACGTCAAATCGGGAGAAATTCATCACAGCCACAAACTTCTCCGCTGCCAGCACTATCTATACATTACGCCAAGGTAGTAGTAAGGTTTCGTGTCATTTTCTCATCTCGTTTTTTTTTCATTATCATGCCGTAGCTTTTTATGTTGTGTACTCACTAGCAATGATGAAGCAAATATATTCCTCCCTGTATCTGTTATTTCGGTGTCCTCAACACATTGTTCACATGCATGTCTTATGAGGTGAACAATTTTAATGACGGCCCAACAGCTATTTTATAGAGCATTAAAATAACAATGAGATGGCAGGCCTGACAAAGGTGTAAAGAGTTGGTGAGGAAGTAAACAGGAAAGAAGCGAGAGCTGCTGACAGTAGTCTCCTTTCACACAGTCACACCTCTGTTCTCACATAGACACACATAGAGCCAGTGTCTCATCAAGTTTGGTTTTTAGAAATACAGTTACTCAAGGGGATACCAAAGAAATGGCACGTGCAATAATATACCATTCTGTTATCTCTTCAATAAAAGCTGTGAATAATATCATTCATGCATTTTATTGAAGAGATGACAATGGTATTACTGGATGTCCTGACTGCTATAACTGCCATGTACGGTATGGAGCCTACAGTTGAACCAGTGTTCTGTCGCAGTATGAGTTGACTGTCCATGTTGTAATACTGAATTAGTTTAATCTCGCTCTCTCTCTCTCGTTCCTTCACACACACACACACACAAACACTCACACACACTCATTCTCTCTGTTACGCTCTCTCTCTTTGTCCCATGGCCCCACACAGAGCATGCTCAGAACACGTACCGTGTGAGTTCGGACGGCTCTCTGTGGGTGACGTTCGCCAGCGGCATGGAGGTGACCCTGAACACAGAACCCCACATCTCGGCAGGCGTGGTCAACCCCACAGTGGGCAAGTGTAACATCACCCTGCCGGGTGAGCATGCTCACAGCGTCATCGAGTGGAGACAGAGAAGAGACCAGGCTAAAGGGAACTACACGGCCTACGAACGCAGGCTCAGGGTAAGGAAGAGACAGAACAGACAGCATGAACACAATACCCTTCACCATATGTTGTGCAATATGGCAGGTACAATATGGCAGCATACTTACAACAGACCTAAAGTCTCCCTATGGGAGTTTGATAACTCTTCCATAACACTGTAGGTCATGAAAAAAATTTATGCACTCACTAACTGTAAGTCGCTCTGGATAAGAGCTCTGCTAAATGTCGTAAATGTAATGTTAAATAGAAGGTATGTGACTGACCGGCTCGATTCGGTCTTATGTAGCAAAATTTGAAATTGTGTGTTTTTTACATTGGATAAAAGTAGCGACTCAGAGCTAGAAAATTGTATACCATACACTACAGTTGAAGAACTATGGGGAAAGTAATTCTGCTTTGAACGTTTATAAACTTGTAACCCCACTTTTGAGAAAATGACCCTTGAACGTTTTGGTACACCTACTGGAGAGCTCTTCTTTGTCTACACCCATTCAACATTGTTCACACCCTCTTAAGCCTTAGCCCCACCCATCTCTTTAAGGATTCACATGTGAGGCCATGTGCTAAACAGAGTAAGTATGGTAGTGTACTAAACAACTAAAGATTTCAAGACTAAAGGCTGGTTAATACTATGTCTGTAGACAGTTGTTGCAGTGACATCATGAACATTCCATTGTCATCCAACATCAAACTTGTCGTTGTCGTTATGAAAAAGTATAAACACAAAAACGACAGACTGCATGACATCAGCAGCCTGGTGGTCCAAAATAGCATACCTGGTGTATTTTAACACCAATAAACCCATCCGTTTAAAAATGAATTTAGTATATGTAAATCGAGCAAACCAGGCAACTAAAAGCAACTTTCTAAACAATGTTTTGGTTCGTTTCTAGCTTGTTCGCTAGCTAGCTAATGTTAAGTTAGCTGGCTAGCCAGTTCAAATAATGACCATATCATATAGCTGACAACGTCTTAACTTGAGCTAATTTGTATTCATTATTACAGGAAAATAAACTCACAACAAGATCATTATTTACAAGTTAATGGCGAGCTAATTACACAAAATACCTTATGGCTGTGAGTGTGACAAAAAAAGCAGGTCATTCTACTGGAGAATTTTAGAACTTGGACACTGTCTCGTTGGCCTAACGTTATGGCGCAGGTCATGTTCTTCACATTACCGTCTCTGGTAAACACACACTATAACAAATAAAATCAATGTTTATTTGTCACATGCACAGGGTACAGAAGATGTAAACAGTACAGTGAAATGGTTACTTGCATAGTGGAGTCTTTTGTTTAGACATGTAGCTAGCTAAACAATGAACCATAATCCCAACTCATAACGTTACTACCCTGCATGAATTTACTGGTAGCTAAAACTAACCAACTAGGTACAATATTAGCTAGCTAGCTAACATTAGGCTATAACTAGCAATGCAAATGGCTCTGAGATACAAATAATATTACTACACAGATCATACACGTAACATTAGCTAGCGAGCCAGCCAGCTAACGTTAGCTAGCTAACAGTACGCTTTAACTTGCAATGAAAACAACTTTCTGACACAATTAGAAATTTATAATATCTGAAAATGTAGCTAGCTAGACTCTCTTACCCTTATACATGGATGAACGCTTCTCCCTCTCTGTCATGGATGCCACGGTTGCCCTTTGAAGATGTATAAAACACCCATCTCCAGATTACAACAGCCTTCTGTATGTTCTCTTTGAGACTCTGCATATTTGCAATCAAACGCCAGAATCTCCTTAGTTATCATACTTTGCTTCCACCGGACATTCCACTGATTTCAAAACTCAGTCCTCCAGAAAGTGGAGAGCGTTAGCAACACTTTTGCAGTTCTTTGTGATATATTTTTTTTAAAGTCACATTAGAAAGGATTACCTACACATACTGAGCCGCTCATGTTAAAGACAGAAGCGTGCTACATGGCAAACCAATCCAAACTCATCTCTTGGCATGTCCAGCTATCCATTATCTCAGCCACTCATGGCTAGTGGGAAGGTTCCTGTCTTTTTCTGTGGCTAAACCAACTACGCTTGTAATTTAACAATTGTATTCATATTTACAGATGGCATACAAGTTTGTTATTAAGGCACATGAATGTTCACATGTTCCAGAAGGCATTTCTGCCAAAAAACACATTTTGATAAAAAAAATGTTTTCATTCAAATGCCTCTCCTGTGAAGTAGTGTTGCGCAACATACGCCTAGTTTCCTGAAATGAGTCACATATACATTTACACATGACTTGATCAAATATGATGGATCCCTAGAACTTTTGTGGAATATTTTTAGATTCAGACAGTGAAAATGGGAAATCAATTGTAATCCAGACTTCATTGAACATGCACATAGAGGGAGATACGATGATGACTCTGTCAGAGAGAGGAGGATAATGAGGGAAAGTGGGTGCAGAATGTTTGACTTATTCCTCCTACCAATTAGGATGAAGTCAAATAAAAGCATTTAGGGCCCATTTCTAGTTGAGCTGAGGCAGAGAGGGAACATTCAGCTCCGTTACTGCCTGTCTGAATTGCTATTAATAGTGATGGTGAAATACTCATTTACCATCACAATGAAGTCTTTAAAAGCCTCCATTTCAAATCGGCACAGTGGATTTGTTTTTGATTTTTTTTTATAATTGTTATCTAGATAAAACGGCTAACTTTTGGGAGAAATAGTCAATAGCTCTAGTATTACTCAGAGGAATGACTGTACCACTCACTCACGTGTCATTCTTGTCTCTCACCAACCCCAGGCTCACAACAGAAACGTGCTGTCCATAGACTTTAACCAAGCCACACGAGTGGGCAAGATCTATGACGACCACCGCAAGTTCACCCTGCGGATCCTCTATGACCAGATGGGTCGTCCTATCATCTGGTCTCCCAGCAGCAAGTACAATGAGGTGAATGTGACCTATTCTCCAGCAGGCCTGGTGACCAGCATCCAGAGGGGTAACTGGTCAGAGAAATTGGAGTATGAGAACGGGAAGGTGGTTTCCAGAACATGGACCAATGGGAAGATATGGAGCTACACTTTCCTGGAGAAGGTATTTAGTTATTTGCTAGACATGTTGTGATGGATCCAAAAAGAGTCCAATGCCATAAGGATTTTAGTTTGTTCTGTATATGGATCTGAATTAGGTGGCAGTCTGTCGCTCAGAATATTAATCTACTTTTGTTTGTGTGTTCTGCAGTCGGTCATGCTGCTGTTGCATAGCCAGCGGCGGTACACCTTTGAGTATGACCACACAGACTACCTGATATCTGTGACAATGCCCAGTATGGTGCGTCACAGTCTGCAGTCCATGCTGTCAGTGGGTTACTACAGGAACACCTACAGCCCTCCAGACAGCAGCGGAGCCTCTGTGATCCAGGACTACAGCCATGATGGCCGCCTGCTCCAGACTCTGTACCTGGGCACGGGCCGCCGTATCCTCTACCGCTACACCCGCCAGTCCCGCCTGGCAGAGATCCTGTACGACACCACCCTGGTCACCTACACCTACGAAGAGGCCTCCGGGGGGGTGAAGACCATCCACCTCATGAACCAGGGCTTCATGTGCACCATCCGCTACAGACAGACAGGTACTGCAATACAGACCAACCTTCTAGCTAACAGTATGGGGAATAGCATTGAATAACTTTACAAACGAAGACAAGCCAGTTAAACTTCAGTAATGACGTATGATCCTCACATAATGACAAGACGATAAGATAGATTCAAAATGAATGGCATGCCATAAAGGAGCTTATTGATTTTTATAATGGAATGTATTATGACAGGTTAATGTAAGAAATAAAACCACAAATGGCTGTGCCTCTGCAGGAGTATAATACAATAAGCTATATTAGATGAAGAGGCCTTTAGGCATAGCTGAGGATTATCGTTTATTGTGGGTTCTTATCACTATAAGCAATTCTGATAATGCTTTATGTCAGACAAGTCTTAAAGTTTGACATATAAGTCTGCTTTGAGAGATTGAGTATACCATCATGAAATACACTATTAGCACCTCTTGAAATATATCCTCAGGCATATGGCCCCAATAATTCACCCATGAGAATTATATATCCTATATATTCTATTCATCCTGCTAAGTTTAAATCTATTTTTGGAACCTAAATCCATGGATAACTCCAGAACTCTGTAGGGATTTGAAATCCCTATAAAGCCAATATGGAATGGCATGCTGATTATATAGGGCACCAAATCAGAACCCATTCTGAAGAGTTGGAGATTGGGAGTGCTGCAGTGCACTGATGAGCAATTTCCTCAGCTTCACAGACTTTTATTCTGTCCTTTTGAGACATTCATGCCTCGCTGTTGGGGGTCCCCACACTCTGCCGGTCTCTCCTGGTCTCCATGCACAGATACACCTAGATTTCCTCCTAACAAATTGACATGAACCTGTATTTAAAGCGTCCCAGGTCCTACACTGGCTGGGCAACAATAAGTCTGATTTGAAGCAAATAAGCAATCAGGGACAGCAGAGCGAGGGATGATGGTAGGCGAGAGCATGGATGAGAATACTTAAGAATGTATTATATAGCGTGGCTGGTGGATTTGGCTGGCTCAATGATAAGCCTGGATATATTACTAGAAAGGGTAGCTGGGTCATTCCACGAAATGAGTGCCTTTTGCGTCCCTTTTATATTTTAAGTAGAAATTGTGCACCAATATTGAATTTTAAAAGCCTGTTCCATTAAATAATAATATGCCATTTAGCAGACGCTTTTATCCAAAGCGACTTAGTCATTTGTGCATAAATTTTTACGTATGGGTGGTCCCAGGGATCGAACCCACTACCCTGGCGTTACAAGCGCCATGCTCTACCAATTGAGCTACAGTGCCCTTTAATATAGACCACATGGAGAATTAAATAATTCAATATGAATAAAGGCTTGCTAAAGGGACAACATTTAGCATTTTGACATCTCCCTCTGTCAACACTGTCACTTCTAGGAAGACATCAACCAACTTAATCCCAAAATTTCACCATCATTGTAAAGCCCTAGTTATTTTAATATGCCATTTAGCAGACGCTTTTATCCAAAGCAACTTACTTGCTTTTGAAGATGATTTATTTTATGTGATTTGTGATTCATTTACATCTGTCCCTCATTTTAAGGTCAACCCTGTTACGTGAACTGAACTCTCGTTTTAATATGGTGAAACTATTCCTTTAATATTTTTTTTCAAAAGAAACATTGAACATCTAATAGTCAAATCATAGAGGTGAGCTGGTTCTACTCTTTTTGACCATTTTCTTGTGTTTTGTGGTGGAAAACTGAGCGTGTCGAGCATAACTGTGATGAGGTGGTGTTGAAGGAGTCAGGTGCAGGAGTGTAAATCACAGAATAACAGGCTTTAATCCCCAAAATACAGGTTTACACAGAACTGCGTCAAACACACTCCAGGGCACAAAACAGGTGCACTGGAAAATACAAGGCACACAGGAATATACTCCCGTCTAACAAAATACACGAGCTTCACTATCCTTCACAATAAACAATCACCCACAAGGACAAGGGGGCAGAGGGAACACTTATACACAGACTAATTAGGGGATTAGAACCAGGTGTGTGTGATAACAATTAGGGCGGGAGGTAGCTTAGTGGTTAAGAGCGTTGTGCCAGTAACCGAAAGGTCGCTGACGACGAACGCCGAAGCATGCCCGAACAAGGAGGGGAGGGAGCCTCGGTCGAAGTCATGACAGTACCCCTCCCCCCCCCCACCTCAGACGCGGAACTCCAGCAGCGCGCCGATCCCGGCCTCGGATGGCAACGGTGGAAATCCCGCAACAGGGAGGGATCTAGGATATCCCTCACCGGGACCCAGCACCGTTCCTCCGGACCGTACCCCTCCCACTCCACGAGGTACTGAAGGCCCCCCACCCGACACCTCAAATCCAGGATGGCACGGACAGAGTACACCGGGGCCCCCTCGATGTCCAGAGGAGGTGGAGGAACCTCCCGCACCTCAGACTCCTGGAGCGGACCAACCACCACCGGCCTGAGGAGAGACACATGAAACGAGGGGTTAATACCTGCGGGCTCAGCTTCCGGCAGGGCAGGCGGAGGGGCAGATTCCGGGTCGAGAGCCAGACCCGATCCCCCGGTATGAAAACTGGGGCCTCACTGTGGTGATGGTCAGCGTTGGCCTTCTGACGACGCACGGCGCGCTGGAGGTGAACGTGGGCAGCGTCCCACATCTCCTCTGCGCGCCGAAACCAGTCATCCACTGCAGGAGCCTCGGTCTGGCTCTGGTGCCACGGTGCCAGAACCGGTTGGTAACCTAAAACACATTGGAATGGTGTTAGGTTAGTAGAGGAGTGGCGGAGAGAGTTCTGGGCATATTCTGCCCACGGCAAGAACACCGACCACTCTCCCGGCCGGTCCTGGCAGTAGGACCGCAGGAACCTACCCACATCCTGATTTACTCATTCCACCTGCCCATTTGACTCGGGGTGGAACCCAGTGGTCAGGCTGACCGAGACCCCCAGACGTTCAATGAACGCCTTCCAAACCTTGGACGTGAACTGGGGACCTCGTCGGACACGATATCCTCAGGCACCCCGTAGTGCCGGAAGACGTGAGTAAACAGGGCCTCTGCAGTCTGCAGGGCAGTGGGGAGACCGGGCAGAGGAAGGAGGCGACAGGACTTGGAGAAGCGGTCCACAACGACCAGGATGGTGGTGTTACCTTGGGAGAGGGGAAGATCAGTCAGAAAGTCAATATTAAGATGAGACCATGGTCATTGTGGAACTGGTAATGGTTGTAGCTTACCCGTTGGGAGGTGCCTAGGTGCCTTACCCTGGGCGCACACCGAGCAGGAGGAGACGTACACTCTCACGTCCTTAGCCAAGGTAGGCCACCAGTACTTTCCGCTCAAGCAGCGCACTGTACGGCCGATACCTTGGTGACCAGAGGAGGGTGACGTGTGTGCCCAGAAGATCACGGATAAGAGCAGGCACGTACCGCAGCCCAGCTGGACACTGCGGTGGAGATGGATCTATGCGTAATGCCTGCTCTATAGCCGCGTCCATCTCCCATACTACTGGCGCCACAATGCTGGAGGCCGGGAGTATGGGGGTGTTGTCTCTGGGCCTCTCCTCTGTGTCATACAGCCGGGACAGTGCGTCTGCCTTCACGTTCTTCGTACCCGGAATGTATGATAGTGTAAAATGAAACCGGGTGAAGAATAGGCCCCACCTGGCCTGGCGAGGATTCAGCCTCCTCGCTACCCGGATGTACTCCAGACGAGGAAAGGGTGTTTCGCCCCTTCGAGCCAATGCCTCCACACGATCACCAACGTCGTAGTTCTGCTCCGCCGGGCAGAGCTTCTTCGAGAAGAAGGCACAGGGGCGTAGCTTGGGTGGCGTGCCCGAGCGTTGAGACAGGACAGCTCCTATCCCAACCTCGGACGCATCCACCTCCACTACGAACGGTAGTGATGAATCGGGGTGGGCCAGTACTGGGGCTGAGGTGAACCGACCCCGCAGTTTGCTGAAGGTCAGCCTCAGCAGACCAGCGGAGCCGGAACGGCCCACCCTTCAACAGTGAGGTAATGGGAGCTGCGACCTTGCCAAAGCCCCGGATAAACCTCTGATAGTAGTTGGCAAAGCCAAGGAAGCGCTGCACCTCCTTAACCGTGGTTGGAGTCGGCCAATTACGCACGGCTGAAATGCGATCTCCCTCCATCTCCACACCTGAGGTGGAAATGCGATATCCAAGGAAGGAGACGGATTGCTGAGAAAAAACATACACTTCTCTGCCTTAGCATAAAGGTCATTTTCCAACAGTCGGGCCAGCACCTTGCGAACCAGGGACACATGCTCGGCGCGCGTAGCGGAATACACCAGGATGTCATCTATGTAGACCACTACACCTCGACCAAGCATGTCCCGAAACAACACCTCGTTCACAAAAGACTGGAAAACTGAGGGAGCATTCATCAAACCATAGGGCATTACCAGGTATTCATAATGCCCCGTGGTTGTGCTGAATGCTGTCTTCCACTCATCTCCCTCTCGGATACGTATCAAGTTGTACACACTCCTGAGATCTAATTTGGTGAAGAAGCGCGCTCCATGCATTGATTCAATCACCGAAGGAATGAGGGGGAGGGGATAACTAAATCTTATCGTCTCCCTGTTCAGTGGTCGATAATCAATGCACGGGCGCAGACCTCCATCCTTCTTCTTCACAAAGAAGAAACTCGAGGAGGCGGGTGAAGTGTAGGGACGTATATACCCCTGGCGCAGGGACTCGGTGACATAGGTTTCCATAGCCACCGTTTCAGCCAGTGACAGGGGGTATATATGACTCCTGGGAGGTACAGCGTCTACCCGGAGGTTTATCGCGCAATCCCCCGCCCGATGAGGTGGTAATTTAGTCGCCTGCGTTTTAGAGAACGCTTGCGCCAGATTGAGGTATTCAGGGGGAATGCGCACGGTGGAGGTACTGTCTGGACTTTCCACTGTGGTTGCACCAACGGAAACATCTAGAGACCTACCCTGACACTCTCGCGACCACCCCATGAGAGCCCTCTGCGGCCATGAGAAGGTGGGGTTGTGGAGTGCTAGCCAAGGGATACCTAATACCACAGGGAAAGCAGGAGATTCAATAACCGAAAAAATAACCTGCTCAAAATGAGTCTCCTGGGTGATCATGGTGACTGGTATCGTGACTTCCGTAACCAACCCGGACCCTATTGGTCGACTATTGAGTGCTCTGATGGGGAATGGAATGGATAGGGGAACCAATGTTATGCCTTGACAGCGTGCGAATGCCCTGTCCATAAAGTTCCCAGCTGCGCCTGAATCGACTAGCGCCTTACACTGGGGAACTACCATGAGATCGGGAAAGTGGATAGGTAGGGTACAGTGCGCAGCAGAGGGCTCTGAACAAGTGTGGGTGTTCGATACCTGGGGTGATGCGAGAGTGCCCTGCCTGCCGCCTCCCGGCCCAAAAGAACGTTGACTACGATGTGTAGTGTATTGTCCCTTCGTGCCACCAGAGTGGCACAGTCGCTGTCCTCCTCCGCTCTCTCGGCCGGCGGCTCCACCCAGCTCCATCGGCTCGGGATCCGAGTTGTCCGGTGTGGAAATGGGCAGACCCCTACCAGGACGTCCTCTGGCTGCCAGCAGGTTGTACAAACGAATGGCCATGTCCACCAGTTTGTTGAAGGACAACATGGTGTCTCGGCATGCTCCCGTCGGACGTCCTCCCGCAGATGGCACCGGAAATGGTCGATCAGGGCCCGCTCGTTCCACCCGGACCCTGCTGCCAGCATCCGAAACTCCAATGCGAAGTCCTGCGCTGTCCTCGTCCCCTGCCTCAGATGGACCAGTCGCTCACCCGCCTCTCTACCCTCGGGTGGGTGATCGAAGAACGCCCGAAAGAGGCGAGCAAACTCCCTGTAGTCCTCCAACGCGGCTCCTCCTCTGTTCCACACCGCGTTGGCCCACTCCAGGGCTTTCCCACAGAGGCAGGAAATGAGGACGGACACCTTCTCCCGCTCAGATGGTTCCGGCCTGATGCTGGAAAAATAAGTAAAGCTCCAATTGGAGGAGGAATCCCTGGCACAGCGCCGTCGTCCCATCAAACGCCCGTGGTCGGGATATCTGGATCCCTCTGGGTGCTGGGGTGTAGGTGGCTGGATCCGGTTGGCCAGCTGGTCTCGACAGATCGGGTTCTCTCCTCTCCAGGCGTTGGACGACCTGAAGAACCCGATCCATCGCTTCCCCCAAGCTGGCCAGCATCGTGGAATGCTCCTGGACCCGTGCCACGACTCCAGGCATGCGCTCTTCTCCCGCTGACTCCATATGGTCTCTTGAGTGGCGCAGTGGTCTAAGGCGCCGCATCGCAGTGCTAACTGTGCCACTAGAGATCCTGGTTCGAATCCAGGCTCTGTCGCAGCCGGCCGCGACCGGGAGACTCATGGGCGGCGCACAATTGGCCCAGCGTCATCCAGGGTAGGGGAGGGAATGGCCGGCAGGGATGTAGCTCAGTTGATAGAGCATGGCGTTTGCAACGCCAGGGTTGTGGGTTCGATTCCCACGGGGGGCCAGTATAAAAAATAAATAAAAAAATGTATTCACTAACTGTAAGTCGCTCTGGATAAGAGCATCTGCTAAATGACTAAAATGTAAAATATTCAGGGTGGGTGATTCTGTGATGAGGTGGTGTTGAAGGAGACAGGCGCAGGAGGGTAAATCACAGAATAACAGGCTTTAATCCGCTAAATACAGGTTTACGTATAACTGCGTCAAACATACTCCAGGGCACAAAACAGGTGCACTGGAAAATACAAGGCACACAGGAAAATACTCCCGTCTAACAAAATACACGAGCTCCACCGAGCTTCACTAACCTTCACAATAAACAATCACCTACAAGGAGAAGGGGGCAGAGGGAACACTTATACACTGACTAATTAGGGGATTAGAACCAGGTGTGTGTGATAACGAGACAAGACAATTGTGATGATGATTGGGGCGGCAGTGGTTAGTACTCCGGTGACGACGAACACTGAAGCATGCCCGAACAAGGAGGGGAGGCAGCCTCGGCCGAAGTCGTGACAATAACACGTCAACCCTGTTTCCCATAGATAGACAGGCTACAGGATACTTGTGTAAAAGTAAATGCTATACATCAAAATCCTTATTTTAAAAATTATGGACGGCCAGGGGCACACTCCAACACTCAGACATAATTTACAAACACAGTATTTATGTGTTTAGTGAGGCTGCCAGATCAGAGGCAGTAGGGATTACAACGCGTTATATTGATAGAGGTGCGTGAATTCGACTATATTGCTGTCCTGCCTGAGCATTCAAAATGTAATGAGTACTTTTGGTTGTCAGGGGAAATGAATGGGAGTAAAGAGTACATAATTTATTTAGGAATGAAGTGGAGTAAAAGTAAAACATATAAATAGTAGAGTACAGATACTACTAAATTAGAACTTCTAAGTATTTTACTTAGTTACTTTACACCACTGTCTATTACACACTTTATCACTTCAGTAGTGTAGATGACAAATGTACCTTTTCGCACACCTACACTAAGTATCATACTGTTGGCTAGGCAGTCTTTTTAGTGAGGTCTCAGCCTTTTTGCTCTGTGAGTTCCTCAGCAGGTTTGAGCCCAAATGAAGGTATTGAACATGTTAGAGGCCTTTACAGAGCTGAATGGGAGAGTGAATAAGCCCACATGAATTAACTGCCATTCAATTTCTTTGAATGTATCACACCCCTGCAATTTCAAGCATCACAGGTCAGCAGCCTCCAACTTCATTTGCAGTCACATGATACCACGCAACCATCTCAATGCAATATTCATCTCCTAAGGACAGAAGTGATTAAAATTCTTTAATTCTGCTTTAGTTCGTTTAGTTTAGTCTAGGCAGACATACAAATAATTTGCTTCTGTTTTATAATGTGCAATCCATATGGGTGTGAACAAGACCGTTTGAGGCACTGGATTAGTATTAGTCTTCTGGGCATCTCTGCTCTGCTATTGATGATACAATAAGTATGTCTTCAAACTTTGAAGAGCTGCTAGAGTCATGCAAATGTACTTTATAATAACAGATATTATGTTTAATTTATGCCAGAGTTTTAAAAAATATAATTGTGATTAATCTTATAAATGTTGAGAAATCTAACTTTCATATCTCATCCTTCTTCCCACAGGTCCTCTGGTTGGGAGACAGATCTATAGGTTTAGTGTGGAGGGCCTGGTGAATGCCAGATTTGACTACAGCTATAATAACTTCCGGGTCACCAGCATGCAGGCCATGATCAATGAAACTCCTCTTCCCATTGACCTTTACCGTTATGTTGACGTGTCTGGAAGGATTGAACAGTTTGGGAAATTCAGTGTCATAAACTATGACCTCAATCAAGTGATCACTACACACATCATGAAGCACACTAAGATATTTAATGCGAATGGACAAGTGATCGAGGTCCAGTATGAGATCCTGAAGTCTATTGCCTACTGGATGACAGTGCAGTATGACAACATGGGCCGCATCACTATCTGTGACATCAGAATTGGTGTGGATAACAACATCACACGCTACTCATACGAGTATGATGCTGATAGTCAGCTTCAGGCTGTGTCGGTGAATGATAGGCCACAGTGGCGCTATAGTTATGACCTCAATGGCAACATTAATTTACTGAGTCATGGCAACAGTGCTAGACTCACGCCGCTGCGCTACGACTTACGAGACCGTATAACAAGACTCGGAGAAATTCAGTACAAAATGGATGAAGATGGCTTTCTTCACCTGCGGGGCAATGTCGTGTTTGATTACAACTCCAACGGACTGCTTGCTAAAGCGTTTGACAAAGTGTCAGAGAGGAGTGTTCACTACCGCTATGATGGCCTGGGCAGGCGGGTGGCCAGCAGGACCAGTGACGGCCAGCAGCTGCAGTTCTTCTATGCTGACCTGACTAAACCCACCAGGGTGACCCACATGTACAACCACTCCAGCTCTGAGATCACCTCCCTGTACTATGACCTGCAGGGACACCTCATCGCCATGGAGCTGAGCAGCGGGGAAGAGTACTACGTAGCCTGTGATAACTCTGGCACGCCACTGGCCATCTTCAGTAGCCGAGGACACATCGTCAAGGAGATGCTTTACACCCCTTACGGAGACATCTACCAAGACTCAAACCCCTCCTTTCAGCTGATCATCGGGTTCCAGGGCGGTCTCTATGACCCACTGACCAAGCTGGTCCACCTGGGGAGGAGGGACTATGATGTGGTGGCTGGGAGGTGGACCACTCCCAACCATAACCTGTGGATGGAGCTCAGCATCAACCCGAAGCCTTTCAACCTCTACTCCTTCAAAAACAACTACCCGGTTGGAGAGTTACAGGATGTCACCAAGTTCACTACAGGTACACTATATGTCTACTTCCTAAAGACAGACATTTAAACTATAGAAAATAGGACTCTCTATTGTGTTGCATGACAAAAGCTAAAATCCTATGCCCTGTCATTGACTCCTCAATACCTTCTGTCTCCAGACATTAGCAGTTGGTTGCAACTGTTTGGGTTCCAGCTCCACAACGTTGTCCCTGGTTACCCCAAGCCGGAGGTGGAGAGCATGGAGCAAACCTATGAAATGATGAGGACTCAAACCAAGACACAAGACTGGGACCCTAGTAAGGTGAGCTAAACCTAGACTAGGCCTAGACAGAGCCTAATCTCCAGCCATGTATGATCCTTAGATATTACATAACCTCCTCATAATCCTTATTATCATTAGATAACCATCCCATGTGTGTTTGTCTGCCAGGTTCTGTTGGGTATCCAGTGTGAGTTGCAGAAACACCTGAAGAACTTCATCTCTCTGGACCGGCTGCCTATGAGTAAGGTGAGTGGTCAGCTGGGGGCGTGGCATGGCCTGAGGCCCCGCTTCTCTGCCATCTCCTCCATATTTGGTAAGGGCGTCAAGTTCGCCATCAGAGATAATGTCGTCACCACTGAAATCATTGGGGTGGCGAGCGACGACAGCCGGCGTGTGGCAGCAGTCTTAAACCACGCGGTCTACCTCTCCGGCCTGCACTTCACAGTGGGCGGTCTGGACACTCACTACTTTGTCAAGCCTGGCCTGCTGGAGGGGGACCTGGGAGTGGTCGGCCACACCGGAGTGGGTCGTGTCCTGGAAAATGGCGTCAACATGACCGTGTCCCAGATGACGACGGTGGTGGGTGGGAGGACTAGGCGCTTCGCTGACATCCAGATGCAGCACGGGACTCTGTGCTTCAACATCCGTTACGGTGCCACAGAGGAAGAGGAGAGGGAGCATGTGCTGGAGGTGGCCCGGCAGAGGGCGGTGGAGCAGGCCTGGGTCATCGAGCAGAGGAGGCTGGAGGAAGGAGAGGAGGGCTCCAGGCTCTGGACAGAGGGGGAGAGGCAGCAGCTGCTCTCCACTGGACAGGTGCCCGGCTACGACGGCTACTTCGTGCTCTCCGTGGAGCAGTACCTGGAGCTCTCTGACAGTGCCAACAACATTCACTTCATGAGGCAAAGTGAAATAGGGAGGAGGTAACAGCGGCATCGTGCTTCACTACTGCCGTGGGTTCCCCTTCACCAAAGACAGTCTGTTTTTAGACATACAATGATTTGTTGTACCGTTTTTTCTAGAATGATGACAATAAATATTTAAAAAAAGACAACTGCCTTTAAAAGTGACAAATGATGGTATTTTGTTTCACCTGTGTTTTTGATTGTTTTGTTTCTTCTGAGAATGAGTTGATCATTTGAAACTCTTGACTGTCTTTCATTTTGGAGTGACTTAGCTAGCTTCTGTAATTTGACCTACTTTGTAAACTGTTAGATATGCTGAATCTGAGATGAGAGACGCTGTATCAAGTTCATTACCATATAATTCATCTTTATACATACTGTATGTATAACAGTGTTGTGAATTGCTCTCATTTCAGTTTATACAGTACATATCTCTGATCTTTTGAGAAATGGTAGTGACAGCTACAGTCTTCTTTTGACTACGAGACTCACTGGAATCGGGGATTTTGCTGCTTCCTGTGTATTTGAAGTTCTGGTGGTACAATGGAGTAGATTGTGTGGGTTTAGACACATTAAATTGTATATAGCAAGTGCTTTAGCGAGATACAAGTGCTTAACTTGATAATGTGTTGTTACTGATTATTAATCGTTAAGCCGATCAATAGAATTGATCACTGGAGTTACACAGAGCAACGGGAAAAAGTATTCATGCTGAAAACCTGTATAGTATAGTTTCCTTTTATTTTAATTTATTTTTACAAATTGCTTATTGTAAAATATAATGTATTATCTGGGTAGAGCTTGTGCCTTTCTGCTCTTAAACTTTGAAGGATGACAATTTAAAAAAAAACAACATATCTTTCAATACCATGAAAAGTGTTATTATTTGTATCATTTATGTACTGGACTAGAATCCTTATGGAGTGGAGCTTGCAGGGCAGACTATAGTGGCCTATACGAAGTGCTAAATCATAGTGTAAATGCTGCAAATACCTCATCATATTGTAATTCACAGGTATTACATTCATTGTACCTTAATTATCCTGATGCCATTACAAGGCAATCCTTACCATACCCTGTTCAGTTAGACAGAAGTGTCCCAGTAATACAAATACCCGAGCTAGCAAGTCAATTGGCAGACAGTACAGAAGATAAGTCTGCCGTCACTGAGAAATCTAAACGTCAGGAATTATTTGTAAGAATCAATGGTTTGCATGGTAAAAAAAAAGGTGATAAGCTTGTAAAAAAATTTCCATACATGTAGGACAAGGCACACTTAAAGTTTATCAAGTGGGTAGAAATATAGACTACATATCAGGAGAAGGAAATCATAATAGGCTGAAAAGCAGAAAGAGAAGAGGACAAATTCAGTGGGTAGCTTACAAGTGTGTTCCAGTTACGGGTCAAATATAGTGGATGTGGAGGAGGATTTTTCAAAAGGAAATGCACACAGAGAGTAGCTGTTTCCCACAGATAAAAAACGAATTGGAAACAATCTTTCAATATTTACACTTTTTTTTCTGTGCTTAATTTACTACAACAGTCACATTGTGTTACAGCATTAGTCATTCCTATTCTGTGAAAAAAGTGTAAGTAGTGCTGTATGCCTCTGTCTAGTATTCCACAAATTATCTGAGGAATTTCGATGTGCATAAGATTACCCCATCTTCACAACAACTAAAATATTTTCAATGCAGCCCCAATTAAACAAGCCTTAGTAAAGCAATAGTTTACTCAGTCCTTTGAAACATCTAAGAATCCTCCTTATTTCTTAAGACAGAATTTCAAGTATGTGAATGAATTGTAATTATTTATTATTTAATTTATTTTGATCAGAGTATGACATGTTTGGAACTGAAAAAGAGGAGTTTAAAAAGTAAAATGTTGTCCAGTCATCCACCCTCACGCATTACCCACACGCACAATTTGGTTTTATTGTTGTCAAGTATTTTTGTAATTATTGATGTGTATGGTTTGTGTGCTGACATTGGTTTTGTTAAGCTTCTCATACGGAAATGAAACATTTAGCACTGTGGAAAAGTCTGAACCAAAGGCATGAAGTGCTGTTGGATGAAGCCGAACACCCTATATTCTGATATTCACTTTAATACTGTCAAGTTAATCAAAAATATAATTCTGTGCAACCTTATCTGTTGTTTTTTACTTTAATTCTCATTGGGTTGTATTGCAAAAAATGAATTGTATAAAACATAGGCTATATGGTATACTATATAACATATTTTGGGTAAATGAATTGATAGTACTCCCTATAATTTATAATGCTCTGCTCATTGGTGGTCATATTGATGATACTGTCTTAGTCGGGTAACTGAGTCTGAGAGCGAAGAGGGTGTGATTGCCAAGATACATTTGTGTTGTACGGGATACTGTGTAGACTGATGGTATGAAAACACTATTGCTTGAATGCATTTTCTACTCTGGGCTTTGACCAAGAGGCATGTATTTTCTGCGAGTGCTCCAGGAAGTGGGTGTAAATAATGAGAAATTAATATATTGGGTGTGGAAAGTTCATGTTCAAAACAAGGTACTTTGAAGGTTTGACTTTTAATAAATAAATGTGCAAATTCTTTGTCCGTATGTTTTGATGTTTATTTCATTGTATCATGAAATAATGAGTATCAGTGGTTTAAATTGAACTGGACATAATGCAAAAAATAGTTAATCAAACAACGCGATTTAAACAAAATACAAAAACAAAAAACAGATACCCAGAAATTATTTAATTTGAATCATTTCACAGTTTTTCAAAAATATTGTTGTCAAAGTGTGTATCTTTGAAGAGGAGCCATCATCTCATGGCTACTGCAGGTCAGTGTGTTGGTATTCAACTGGATAGAGGAGGTGCACCGCCAGGCCCTAGTTTGGCTTACCAAAGGCAGCTATCAGATTACATGCTGTCATCCATGCTAGATCAAACAATAATGGGGTGATACACATAGTTAGGCCGGATAATGCATTACGTATTATAATACTTTTTTTAGGCAATTTTGGGTATAATGGAATTAGTAATAGATTTATGTTCAGTATATTTGGTCAGAATCTATCCTATTTGGCTGCTTAAAAATTACATTTCAGTTTCAATATCTCTGGCCCAGAAAGTCCGATTCTTACAAGGTAAAGATCTCCTGGTTCAGTGGGTTCTCCCATAGTTTTCTCAGCGGGTCTACGTCATCTGAGAAGGGTCCTTGGTGGTGCTACAGGCCACAACTGCATAATAACTATGTAAAATAACTATTAATGCATCCATTCCATAGTCTTAAGTGTTTATGTTTGATAATCCACTCATTTTTTGTTGAGAAGGTCAGGATATTTGACCTACTATTTCCATTATGCCCATTTTCACCAGATTTCACCTTTAAGCCATTGAAAAATGACTTAAAAATCAAAATGTAACGTGTTATCCAGCCAAACTTTTTTTTTAGGGGGTGTATCAGCTTTAATATTGCAAATAGATTGTGGCTTCTATCAATGCAATTGTCTGCATAATTTCCAATACCCCATATATTTTCTTTGTCGAGGCACAGATCTGGGGAAGGGTACCAAAAAATGTCTGCAGCATTGAAGCTCCCCAAGAACACAGTGACCTCCATCATTCTTAAATGGAATAAGTTTGGAACCACCAAGACTCTTCCTAGAGCTGGCCGCCCGGCCAAACTGAGCAATTGGAGGAGAAGGGCCTTGGTCAGGGAGGTGACCAAGAACCCGATGGTCACTCTGACGGAGTTCCTCTGTGGAGATGGGAGAACCTTCCAGAAGGACAGCCATTTCTGCAGCACTCGACCAATCAGGCCTTTATGATAGACTGCCCAGACGGAAGCCACTCCTCAGTAAAAGGTACATGACAGCCCGCTTGAAGTTTGCCAAAAGGCACCTAAAGGACTCTCAGACCATGTGAAATAAGATTCTCTGGTCTGATAAAACCAAGAATGAACTCTTTGACCTGAATGCCAAGCGTCACGTCTGGAGGAAACCTGGCACCATCCCTACGGAGAAGCATGGTGGTGGCAGCATCATGTGGTCCTCTGTAGCTCAATTGGTAGAGTATGGCGCTTGTAACGCCAGGGTAGTGGGTTCGATCCCCGGGACCACCCATACGTAAAAATGTATGCACACATGACTGTAAGTCGCCTTGGATAAAAGCGTCTGCTAAATGGCATATTATTATTATTATTATTATGTCTTTCAAGGACTGGGTGACTAGTCAGGATCGAGTGAAAGATAAATGGAGCAAAGTACAGAGAGATCCTTGATGAAAACCTGCTCCAGAGTGCTCTGGGCCGAAGGTTCACCTTCCAACAGGACAACGACCCTAAGCACACAGCCAAGACAAAGCAGCAGTGGCTTCGGGACAAGTCTCTGAATGTCCTTGAGTGGCCCAGCCAGAGCCCGGACTTGAACCCGATCGAATATCTCTGGAGAGACCTGAAAATAGCTGTGCAGCGACGCTCCCCATCCAACCTGACAGAGCTTGAGAGGATCTGCAGAGAAGAATGGGAGAAACTCCCCAAATACAGGTGTGCCAAGCTTGTAGTGTCATACCAAAGAAGACTCAAGGCTGTAATCGCTGCCAAAGGTGCTTCAACAAAGTACTGAGTAAATACTTCTAAATGTGATATAACCTTATTTATTTATTTTGCAAGAAAATCTAAAAACCTGTTTTTGCTTTGTCATTATGGGGTATTGTGATGAGGGGGAAAAAACAATTTAATACATTTTAGAATAAGGCTGTAACGTAACAAAATGTGGGAAAGGTCAAGGGGTCTGAATACTTTCCGAACGCACTGTATATACATTTTACGGACACAGTATATTTTACATTATCTTGTTTTTTTGTTATTTCTTTTAAATGTACCGATATTTACGTATAGTTGCATGTTTTCATAAGCTTGGGTCCGAGGAAAACACATAATTTCTAATTTCTTTAACAAATAATGCAGGGCCGACAGACAAGTTCCTTTCTCCCCCTTCCACTGCCTCTTCCATTTATGCAGTAATGCTGCAATTAGTTGGTTGTAATTTTGGATAGAGCAGACATTTCCATAATTTATTTTTGTTAGCTGCATGTGTGACAACTCCACCAGTCCTATTCATGATATCATTTACAAAGATTATACCTTCTTTTTTTTCTGTTTCCAAAAATAATGTTTTTTTTAATCAATTAGTATATTTGAGTTTTACCATAATATTTGTTGTAATATTTGTTCTGTCTTTTCTGGTGGATTAAACTGAAATTGCAACCAACTTTCTATGGCATGTTTTAAAAAATAGCAATATTATGGAGATTATTTCATTTTCAAATAACCAAAAGTGAGAGGTTGTAATCTGAATAAAGTGCAAAGGGCCATTCTTGAACACAGGGTGAGCCATTCTTACTAATCTGCTAGAGAACCAGTTCGGATTTCAGTATAGCTTTTGTATGACTGAAGCCTTTAGAGAGAGGTCTAATGCTTTAATATTTAATCATTTCTGCCCTCCGAATTCATATTCATTATATAAATAGGCCCGTTTAATTTTGTCTGGCTTTCCATTCCAAATAAAATGGAATATCTTTTGCTCATATAATTTAAAAAACAAGTCGTTAGGTGTAGGCAGGGCCATAAGCATCCGGCCTAACTTTGTTTATCACCCCATCATTGTTTGATCTAGGATAGATGAGAGCCTGTAACAAGTAACACAAAAAAAGGATAGCACTTTTTCCTGGTTGGCTGGTCTACTAAATACCAGTAATACAATACCTTTTTATAATTTTGTATCTAGTGTTTTGAGGCCATACCTCTTAAGGGATATGCTTTCTATAATTGGAATGTAAGAAAATGTGCGTGAATGTACAGTATATTGTAGCAATTCATGTGTGTCCATGTGGTAATCTACTACTAACCAATGGATATTGATAACGTGACTGTTGTGAATGTCTTTACTCACCTCAACTGTCCAGGACCCATCATTGATTTGGAACACTCTGTAGGTGTAGACAACACCTTTGCATCTTTCAGTGAAAATAGCAGAAAAATATGATAACAGCATTTCAATGCAGAGTTATTTTGAGTTTAATCGTACTGTAAAGTACATTACAGTCCAGTATTTATGTTATTCTGTAGTCTGTGTAAATTGGACTCAAATTAAATGGAACAACCAGTCTGTATGAGCATGAATCAGAAAGATGGAAACACAGGTGTGTATTTGTCATACAAATATGCATGTCATATCATCCATCTGATGATTCATTCTGTAACATTGTTATCCACCACCTTGCTGAGAAATTATTCTTCTATGCATTGAAGCAAATGTGAATTCATAGTGGAAGTCAATCTAAATGGCAATAACTAAACCTACGTTTCAAATATTATTGGTTTATGGACACATGGTATTAGGTCAAAAACATACAATGGATCAACAATATTGTTGAGGTACTCACAGAACACATAGGCAGTAGGTGTTGGCCAAACTCTCACTGTCTCATTTACGTCATTTAGCAGACGCTCTTATCCAGAGCGACTTACAGTTAGTGAATACATTTTTTTTATTTTATACTGGCCCCCCGTGGGAATCGAACCCACAACCCTGGCATTGCAAACGCCATGCTCTATCAACTGAGCTACATCCCTGCCGGCCATTCCCTCCCCTACCCTGGATGACGCTGGGCCAATTGTGCGCCGCCCATGAGTCTCCCGGTCGCGGCCGGCTGCGACAGAGCCTGGATTCGAACCAGGATCTCTAGTGGCACAGTTAGCACTGCGATGCAGTGCCTTAGACCACTGCGCCACTCAGGAGACGTGTCTCGGAGTAGATAACTCCCATCTTTCCCCACTGCACCCAGGATCCTCTCAGTAGTGGCCTTGCTGATAGCCCCCTGGTAAACAGAAACATGCTCTATGATACAGAAGCCTGCCATCTATGACTAGCACTGACACACATTCAGTATGGTAGTATTTATGGTACGGTAGCATCTACAGGAAATCATATCATATCCTGAGAGGAAAGAAAAGATCACACAGGCTGTGGTCATATTAAAAAGGTTAGTTCACCCAAATTACATATTGGTTTCCTTACCCTGTAAGCAGTCAATGGACAAAGTATGACAGCAATCCATGCTTTGGTTTAGTTTCCCTGGCAATTTTTAGCATTTGTGGCACAAATCCCATTCAAGTCATTGGACCGATATTAGCATTTTTTGCACATCATGTTCAAATCATCTACTGTGACTTTGAGCTTTACAATCAATTTTAGATACTTTCAGATGATTTGGACATGATTCACGAAAAATGCTAATATCTGTCCCTTGACTTGAATGGGATGAGTGCCACAAATGATAAAACATTAGCATGTGGAAACACTGCCAGGGAAACTAAAGCAAAGCATGGATCGTTGTCATACCAATGTGTCATTTTGTAATTTGGGTGAACTATCCCTTTAAGGTGAGGCCACTGCAGGAAACAGTATTGAAGTACGAGTATTTAGGCCTACGTGTCACCTTAATTTGCCTTGAGGTTTTCACTTTTCTGTTCATTGTAATGTTCATATAATGTTCATATGAGTTTTAATAACTAAAATAACAATTTGAAGCAAAAACGATGCAATTATCATCAAAGAGAATTCCTTTGCATCTGCGCTTCTCAAACCCAGCCACAGAGTGTCAGTAAAACAGAGCCTATATCAATGCTTGTTACTCAGTGTACGTCTTCGTTGTCTCTATGATGGCTGCAAAAACAAATGTCAGGATAAAAAAGCGGTTAGTTTTGATTGTATGAAAAACTATGAAATGCATGTTAAAATTGCTACATTGTGACGCAAACTCGAGCCCCTGGCTTTCCCATATTTGTTCAACTTGAGCATGGCCTTAAATAATTGAACGGGTGTTTTGTTTTCACACCAAGAAGACAGCCAGACAGTTATATCATTATGAATAATTGTATTCTTATTAGGGCTGGCACAATCACTGTATATTCATGTAACTGACATTTATGGACAATAACTGTGAAAGAAAAAAAGATACATCTCCATAATCATCTTCATACATTCATTTTAAGAGGGGGAGGGCGATTCAAATTCATTTTCAAGTAGATGTAGTTTACATAATAGCAGTTTTTCATTTTTACATGAAGAGGGTAAGATTGGGAATTATTTTACAAGCAGAACGGCACAGTCAGGAGGAAAAGCTTCATACCCAAAAGTTTAGAGTGGTCAAAACCATTCGTTTTTTGAGACGGGGGTCACCAAAGCTGTGTTATAATATATATGAAATATTTTTTCAAAGATGCGTTATGATACATAAGGTCCAAAAAAAAAAATTATGACAAGAACCCTGATAATTTGCATGATAATTAATTGTTACACAAAATTATATAATCGTCACAGCCCTATGATATTGAAATGAAGAGTGACTGGAAGACATAACTCATAGCGTATCCAGATAAGGGTTATACATTTGACACAATACAATGTTAATTATGGTTCAAGATAGACAAATTATACAGTTTACAGTAGATGTTTGCATGTACCTTTTCTTTCCCTTTAGAAGGCTCTGTGTTGATTGACATATATAGTTTTGTTATGGATATACAATAAAAACAACATACACATCACATTATTGTAACTAGGACAAAAGCACATAGTTGTATATTTCACACACACTTAATATCACACTGGCCTGTGGATCTTAGAAAACATGGCAGGTTTAAACAGCACATATCCTGTAGATTGTAATGAAATATCCCTTCACCCTAACATGAGCTTCATGGTCACATGGGATGTGAAACTGACATTCAAATATATGTTTAGATGCCCTCTGTCCAGCCTACAGGGTGTCCCTGATTAGGAGTAGACCGGGGGGTCAACATCCCCTGGAGACTAGGCCTGGCCTGGGGGTGATCCAGGATGTCTGGGGTTAACTGTTACACATCTGACAGACAGAGTCCTCTCATAGTCCTGCCAGGTGACCTCCATCCACTAGGGGCCCCTACTGTGTTGGCCCAGTCTCCAGTGGCCCTGTATCTTTTATGTTCCTGGAGAAAAGCTAAGCCTGGTCCTGATGGAGTCTCTCTTCTGGCACAGCCTGGGAGCCTTCTCCTCGTACAGCCGCCACAGCTGCTCCCGAAAGTGGTTCCCCACAAAGCAGTAAAGTACAGGGTTGATGGCGCTGTTGGAGAAGCCCAGGCAGAGGGTGAAGGGCATCAGGGTGACGATGGCCTGGCGCACCCAACAGCTGTGCATCACCCCCAGGGTGCTCAGGACATCCAGGAAGGTCAGCACGTGGAAGGGGAACCAGCAGACGAAGAAGGCCAGCACCACATCCACTACCATCTTCATCACACGGTCCAGGTTGCTGGAGCTCTTTTCCAGGCTGGGCTGTCCCCCCAGGAGGTGCTTCCTGATGCAGCAGTAGCAGCTGGCGATGACTGTGAAGGGCACCAGGAAGGCCAGGATGTTCATTGTCAGGGCCAGGCTAGGGAACCAGTTTGTCTGGGTAGGTGGGTATATGAGGGCACATGCCGTGACCCCCAACTCCTCCAGGTGGTAGGTGACTCTGAAGGCCATGGTGGGGATGGTCATGAGGCCAGCGATGGTCCAGATCACACAGCTGACCACTCGCGCCCGACACAGGTTCCTGCTGCACTGAGACTGGAGGGGATTAACAATGGCTCTGTAGCGGTCCACACTCATACAGGTGATGAAGTAGATGCTGGCGTAGACATTCAGAGAGAGGAGGCTGCCACACAGCTTACACATCAGCCCACCAAACACCCAGTTGTAGTCAAAGGAGTAGTAGACTGCCCAGAAAGGCAGGCTGATCAGGAACAACAGATCTGAGAGAGCCAAGTTTACCATGTAGGTGTCGGCCACTGTTTTACGGTTGGACTTTTGACATAACACGAACACCACCAAGACATTGCCCACGAAACCAAAGACAAAGATGACACTGAAGATGGTGGGGATCAGCTTGTTCTGATGCAGAGAGGGGGAGATGGAATCACAGGAATAATACTTGTAAATTGGCTCTTCTGATGAGTTGGTGGCCATTGAGAGGTTAGAGAGTGTCATTGCCAGGGGACTTTGTGTCCGTGATTGCTTTTACACTAAGGCCTGTAAGAAGATAATATAAAATCAGCAACATTTTAAATGAGAGAGTTGCAATAAGTCCGTAACTGTAAAACACAATGAGACAGTTGTTTTGGAAAGCATGGTAAGAAATTAATTGCTCAATGTTAGTAGACACATGCAGGATGGGCCAACTGAAGAATGAGGTGTTCTCAGTCCACTAAATCTTTTGCCTACTGAATATATTACTTTCTGATGATCTTTTAGTGATAACAGCTGTGTGTGAAACAGCTCAGTCTTCCTTCTGTATGTAATTTTTTTTTACTGAATTATCTTTTTCCAGACCCTCTACAGCAGATGTAAGAATCACTTTCATTATGTCGTTTTGTCCTGGAGCATGAACACCGGGCTAACCTAATGTAAAAAAAGAAATACATTTGTATGGCCCATTTGGGACTTCCTATTTGGACTGTGTTGTTTTGAGAATTTGTATTGGATAGTCCTCCTCTGTTGAGGCTCCAGGCATGAGTCCATCTGGATAGTGTTATATAGGGGGAGACAGAGGGGAACATGTGTTTGGTGGTTTTAGAGGGCTCTGGGGTTGGCCATATTCCCCTCTCCAGGGTCCCTGTGCATGATAAACTCCCCTACAGGGGATGGCCTATACAATCAGCAGCACATGCAGTATAGCAAAGTAATGAGCATTACATAACATAGCATTGTGAACAGCTGGCTGCTGCAATCCCTCAGGAGATATTTTAAGGTCTTCCTTATTGCAAAAAAAAACTATTTTGTGTTTGAAAATGTATAAATAGTAGAGAAACAGTGGATTGGATTGATTTTCATTACCTTGATTCAATCTGAAAGTATTGTACAGGAATGTAATATATTTATACTGAACAAAAATATAAACGCAACATGCAATAATTTCAAAGATTTACTGAGTTACAGTTCACATAAGGAAATCAATCAATTGAAATAAATTCATTAGGCCCTAATCTATGGATTTCACATGACTGGGCAGGGGTGTAGCCATAGGTGGGCCAGGGAGGGGAGCCATCAGAATGAGTTTTTCGCCACAAAGGGGCTTTAGCATCCCCCCCCCCAGACGATCCCGCATGTGAAGAAGCCGGGTGTGGAGGTCCTGGGCTGGCGTGGTCTGCAGTTGTGAGGCCGGTTGGACGTACTGCCAAATTCTCTAAAACGACGTTGGGGGCGGATTATGGTAGAGAAATTAACATTAAATTCTCTGGCAACAGCCTGGTAGGCATTCCTGCAGTCAGCATGCCAATTGCACGCTCCCTCAAAACGTGAGACATCTGTGGCATTGTGTGACAAAACTGCACATTTTAAAGTGGCCTTTTACTGTCCCCAGCACAAGGTTCATCTGTGTAATAATCATGCTGTTTAATCAGCTTCTTGATATGCCACACCTAATCAGGTGGATGGTTTATCGTGGCAAAGGAGAATGTTCACTAACAGGGATGTAAACAAATTTGTGCACAAAATTAGAGAGAAATAAGCTTTTTGTGCGTATGGAAAATGTATGGGATTATTTTTATTTCAGCTGTTTAGTGTGTTAACACACTCTTGGCAGTTTGTTGTAACCAAGTATTGGTGCTAAACTGTGTGTTAATGGATGCTAGCATGCTAGTTAGCTATGGCGTCATAGCTAGGCATCGTGGGTTGTTGTGGGTAGTTACTGTAGGTTGGCAGTGTATTCGGCCGTGCCGGCTGTAGCACGAAGCGAGCTAACTAGCCGTTTTTCGAACAGAGTCAAAGTCAACACAGTAGCCATTGTGTGCCGGGTGTAGCACGAAGCTAGCTAGCTAGCCGTTCTCCAAACAAAGTCAACACAATGGCCATTGCTAGCTACCCAACACGACCAGCTAACTGTACTGTAGTAGCTAAATACAATATACTTGTCCTAGCTAGCCAACGTTTAATCATTGCTGCGTCATGAAAGGAACTTGACACAGACACGAATGATCTGTTTAGTGTGTTAACTCACTATTGGTGGTTTGATGTGACCAAGTGTTGGTGCTAAACTGTGTGTTACTGGATGCTAGCATGCTAGTTAGCTAGTTAACACACTATTGGTGGTTTGTTGTGACCAAGTGTTGGTGCTAAACTGTGTGTTATTGTTATTGGATGCTATCATGCTAGTTAGCTATGGTGTCATAGTTAGCTAGCTGAATAAGTGGGTTGAGTCTATTCCTTTAAACATTGAACCGCTGTGGTTCACAACAATTCTGATTTCTAAAGGTGGAAGTTGGGAGAGTTTTTGTTCGGGTGGTTCAGTGAAACAATTTTAGTTTCTGAGGTAGAAGTTTTTGGTGAGGGAGGCCCTGCTCTCTCCTCTCCCAGATGCTTAGCTCATTTCATTCCGATCTCCTCTGCATTTTTGTAGCCATTTGCTACAGCCTGTCAACTATGCCTCTGCCTATCCCTGTTCTCTCCTCTCTGCACAGGCTACACAAACGCACCACACCGCGTGGCTGCTGCCTCTCTAACCTGGTGGTCCCTGCACGCACCCCACACCTGGAGTTCCAGGTCTCAGGCAGCCTCTGGAACTGCCGTTCTGCTGCCAACAAAGCTGACTTCATCCCAGCCTATGCCAACCTCCAGTCCCTCGACTTCCTGGCGCTGACGGAAACATGGATTACCACTGAAAACACTGCTACTCCTACTGCTCTCTCCTCGTCTGACCATGTGTTCTCGCATACCCCGAGAGCATCTGGTCAGAGGGGTGGTGGTACAGGAATCCTCATCTCTCCCAAGTGGACATTCTCAATTGTTCCCCTAACCCATCTGTCTATCTCCTCATTTGAATTCCATGCTGTCACAGTCACTAGCCCATTTAAGCTTAATATCCTTGTCATCTATCGCCCTCCAGGTTCCCTTGGAGAGTTCATCAATGAGCTTGACGCCTTGATAAGTTCCTTTCCTGAGGATGGCTCACCCCTCACAGTTTTGGGGGATTTCAACCTCCCTATGTCCACATTTGACTCATTTCTCTCTGCCTCCTTCTTTCCACTCCTCTCCTCTTTTGACCTCACCCTCTCACCGTCCCCCCCTACTCACAAGGCAGGCAATACGCTTGACCTCATCTTCACTAGATGCTGCTCCTCTACTAATCTCACTGCAACTCCCCTCCATGTCTCCGACCACTACTTTGTTTCCTTTTCTCTCTCGCTCTCCTCCCACACTACTCACTCTGCCCCTACACAGATGGTAATGCGCCGCCGCAACCTTCGCTCTCTCTCTCCCACTACTCTCTCCTCTTCCATCCTATCATCTCTTCCCTCTGCTCAATCCTTCTCCCTCCAATCTCCTGATTCTGCCTCCTCAACCCTCCTCTCCTCCCTTTCTGCATCCTTTGACTCTCTGTGTCCCCTATCCTCCCGGCCGGCTCGGTCCTCCCCTCCAGCTCCGTGGCTTGATGACTCATTGCGAGCTCACAGAACAGAGCTCCGGGCAGCGGAGCGGAAATGGAAGAAAACTAAACTCCCTGCCGACCTGGCATCTTTTCACTCCCTCCTCTCTACATTTTCTTCATCTGTTTCTGCTGCTAAGGCCACCTTCTACCACTCTAAATTCCAAGCATCTGCCTCTAACCCTAGGAAGCTCTTTGCCACATTTTCCTCCCTCCTGAATCCCCCCCCCCCCCCCCCCCCCCCCCCCCTCCTCTCTCTCTGTGGATGACTTCGTCAACCACTTTGAAAAGAAGGTTGACGACATCCGATCCTCGTTTGTTAAGTCTAATGACACTGCTGGTCCTGCTCACACTGCCCTACCCTATGCTTTGACTTCTTTCTCCCCTCTCTCTCCAGATAAAATCCTGCGACTTGTGACTGCAGGCCGCCCAACAACCTGCCCGCTTGACCCCATCCCCTCCTCTCTTCTCCAGACCATCTCCGGTGACCTTCTCCCCTACCTCACCTCGCTGATCAACTCATCCTTGACCGCTGGCCATGTCCCTTCCGTCTTCAAGAGAGCGAGAGTTGCTCCCCTTCTCAAAAAACCAACACTCGACCCCACTGATGTCAACAACTACAGACCAGTATCCCTTCTTTCTTTTCTTTCCAAAACTATTGAGCGTGCCGTCTTTAGCCAACTCTCTTGCTATCTCTCTCAGAATGACCTTCTTGATCCAAACCAATCAGGTTTCAGGACTGGTCATTCAACTGAGACTGCTCTTCTCTGTGTCACGGAGGCTCTCCGCACTGCTAAAGCTAACTCTCTCTCCTCTGCTCTTGTCCTTCTAGACCTGTCTGCTGCCTTTGATACTGTGAACCATCAGATCCTCCTCTCCACCCTCTCCGAGCTGGGCATCTCCGGCGCGGCTCACTCCTGGATTGCGTCCTACCTGACCGGTCGCTCCTACCAAGTGGCGTGGCGAGAAGCTGTCTCCGCACCACGTGCTCTCACCACTGGTGTCCCCCAGGGCTCAGTTCTAGGCCCTCTCCTTTTCTCCCTATACACCAAGTCACTTGGCTCTGTCATATCCTCACACGGCCTCTCCTATCATTGCTACGCTGACGATACACAACTAATCTTCTCCTTTCCCCCTTCTGATAACCAGGTGGCGAATCGCATCTCTGCATGTCTGGCAGACATATCAGTATGGATGACGGATCACCACCTCAAGCTGAACCCTGGCAAGACGGAGCTGCTCTTCCTCCCGGGGAAGGACTGCCCGTTCCATGATCTCGCCATCACGGTTGACAACTCCGTTGTGTCCTCCTCCCAGAGTGCGAAGAGCCTTGGCGTGACCCTGGACAACACCCTGTCGTTCTCCGCTAACATCAAGGCGGTGACCCGCTCCTGCAGGTTCATGCTCTACAACATTCGGAGAGTACGACCCTGCCTCACACAGGAAGCGGCACAGGTCCTAATCCAGGCACTTGTCATCTCCCGTCTGGATTACTGCAACTCGCTGTTGGCTGGCCTCCCTGCATGTGCCATTAAACCCCTACAAC